AATTGGGATTGATTAATTTTAAAATTCCCGCCAAAACTTTTCTATCGGATATTTGTTCGGTCATTTACAACCATCGATTAAATAAAAATTCGTTGATTTTGAGAGTTCTCGAATACTTTAGAAGTTACAACAAATTTTATAGTCTCGCCTCGCAAGAGCTTTTTTAGTTTGCGACGTTTTTTTGTTATCTCATTTTTTATAAAATAAATTTTTTTCCAAATTCACTCGTAATATAATTTTTTGTTTCTTTTCATATGTAATTCCAATTTTTTTTTTTCCAAATCAAAACTAATTGGTTTTTGTTTGTGCGCATTTCCTTATTACGTTACTTCTTTTTTTCCTCGCAGTCTCACGTCCCGTCGCTTTTTCATCAAAGTCGTGAATCTCGAAAATTTGCTTGTCACGATTTTACATTCCGTTATCAAAATTACAACGAAATATTATAAGAAATCAAACAGAAATTGACATAGAATCTCTCTGGCAATACTCAATTTTTGCGCTTTCTCGGCCCAGAAACCAGGCGCACTGATCATCATCGCACCTCTCTCTGGAGCACGAAAGGTCCCTTTTTTTTGTTATATATATATATACCGCGCAGAGAGAAACTTTTGTCTTAGCGCGGCGCATTAGTTTCCGTTCGACTTTTGTTTTAAGCTGCGCGCTATGCGCTATTTCCGTTTTACGACACGAGAATATTATAACATTTCCGTTTTTGATGCATTATAACATTTAAAATCATAAGATATATACAGTCCCCCTATATATATATATATAAAGCGCGTTAAATTACACATAAATTGGTCCAGTCGTGGCCTACTCGATCTGAGAATTGGGTCAGTCATTGGATTACCGCAAAAAAAAGAGGATAAATAAAAAAAAAAATGTACTCTGCGGCGTGAACGCTACTTTCATTGTCGGCTAGAGCTAGTCTACTTATGCGTAAGAACTTGAAAATTATACGTATTGACAGAAGTAGAAGAAGAGTGAAAAGCGGTCTAGAAAAAAATTTTTATGAGTTTTACAGATGTGAAATTTCACACTTGTGTAAATTTCATATATCTTATTATCTGACTTATATTAAGTATCATATTTCGTCCGCATGAGACCAAAATAATTATTTTATTTTTCTATTTCTATACAGTAAAATATAATTTATTTTGACAATTTTTAAATTTAGCGCCATTATCAACAGTTTTTTTTTTTTTTTTGTTAAATGGTTGACATTTATGCTTATTAATTCACAAGATGTCTTCTTTATTTACAAAAACTGTAATTTGAGGTTATATAAAACTTGTATGAGTTTTTTCTACAGATTCAGTGAATTTTTCAAATTTCAATGTGCATCTTCAAGTAAGAAAACTTTCATTTGTTGTTATTTTCAGTATGCTTGAAATTCGTGTCGTTTTTTTTCGAAATTATAGTGATATAAAAAATTTTAGTTAAATTGTAAATAGTATAGTACTTTTATAGTACTTTTGGACATTTTGTACTTTAGAAAAAAAAATTTCTGATCCTTTGACTTTGGGAATTTTTTCTTGAAACTTTCAGTTTGGAATTTTCGTTTTGGAACTTTTGTCTCCATAAGGTTTTGGTTCCCATTGTCCCCACTCGCCATTTGTCATAATTCTCGTCAACTACCGCAACCTGCTCAGTTAAACTTTAGTAATTTTATAGTAACTTTTAATTTAAACAATAAAATCACACTAAAGCAGGGTGCGGTAATTAACGAGAATTATGACAAATGGAGAGTGGGGACAATGGAATACCAACCATACCTCTAAATTGCCAGATGACTTTTGTAAACAAACAAGGTTGGGAATAGCAAGAGCTCAAAATATATTCGTCCAAAGCAGAGTTGGGTAAGCTGTGTTGTATTGTGAATACAGCCTAAACAGTTCAATACACTTTCTGAAAATTATTGTTGTAGCACAAAATTTCGATCCTACCCAACTTTGCTTTGGATGAACATATTTTGGGCTCTTGCTTCTCTCAACCCTGTTTGTTTACAAGGTTGGTTTTCATTGTCCCCACTCGCCATTTGTCACGAATTAATATACGGTCCCAACCCTGCATAATTCTCGTCAACTAACGAACCCTGCTTTGGTAAAAATTTAGTAAAAAATGACCTAAATTTTAAGGTTATGTTCGTTTCAAGACTCTGAATAGGGCCGCAAGTCCTCCCCCCTTCCTTACCCTCTCTCCGTATTTCCCACCAAAAATGACAAAAATTTTGAGGTTATGTTCATTTCAAGACTGAATAGGGTCGAAAGTCCTCCCCTCTCTCCGTATTTCCCGCCAAAAGTGACAGGAAACTTAGCGTTCGTATTTACCTCGATACTTTGCAACTTTCCTAAAATACCGGGGTAAATACGAACGCCACTGTACTTATTTCAGAAAAATCTTAGGGAAAATAAATTTAAAGTATTGCAATTGTTAAACTTATATAAAAACTAAAAAAAAAATACGATAATAAACCTATTATGTAATAATGCATCATATATAAATACAAAAATCAAACAGGTTAAAAATTAAAATGCATTACACAATTAAAACCTTCAATAACTTTATCAAATCATAACGGATTTTTGCAAAACTTGCTACAGAAAGTATTTTGGAGTGATTGAATGTAAATACAAAAATAAAAGTCAAATTTTTTAAATTCAAAATGGCGGACTTTCCTAAAACTTATTTTTAAAAATGATCAAATTTGCGCTAACCCTGAAACCCCCCGAGTAACAATTTTCGAGCGAATCCAATGAATTTTTTAATTCTCGTCCGCCATTTTGAATTTTGAAAAACTGACTTCAAATTGGTAATTAGCGACCCCAAAAACCGTAGAATACCAAATTTTATTAAGATCCTGAAAAACTTTTTTCAACAAACCATTTGGCAAAAAAATTGAAACACTCCTTCGAGAGAACAGAGATTAAGTTTCTGCTTATTAATTACTAACGAGGATACGTATAGAAAGAAAAACTTTTTTCTATGTACTTTTATAATGTTAAAATAATAGTGTAATCAAATAAAAACAATTTTGTGTGGCTTTGATGTAAAAAAAAATTATTAAAAATACCGTTCGGATTTACCCCAGTTTTCCAATTTTCTTGGGTAAATACGAACGGTCTGATATTATTAATAAAATTTTACAGAAGGCAAAAATCAAATATAGTTTCTGTTCTAGTATTCATAACAAACAATTATAAATAATAAAATGAATTTTTAGCTTCTTTTTCTTCAAATACGAGACAAAATACTGAAAGAGTGTCATCTTTGATTTTCAATCTTTTTTGCAATACTCGTTATCTTTGTTTATGCTGTTGCTAATTAACAAACAAAAAATGGGATAATACTTAGAATCTCTTCAAGAGGATCTGAGGTAAAAATTCTCATATCGAACTTATTTTTAAAAATTTTAATTAAGCTGAAATAATTAGCGTTCGGATTTACCCCCTGTTCGGATTTACCCCGACTGACCCTAGATAAATTTTGTTTTAAAAATTGAAAATAATAAAAATTATTGTTAATTAAAATCGTAAATGGCATTTAAAGAAATAAATAATAAAATATTAATAATAGTTTTAAATTCCAGAAATTGTCTAAACATTAACTCAAACATCTACAAAACCAATAAAAAATAGGGGGTTAGTTTCATTCCCTAGTTTCCCTAGTTTCATTCAAAATGATTTTAATGAATTCAATGTGAATCAATGAATTCAATGAATCTTAATAAAATTCTTTGATCTCTATTAAATTGCAGTGAATTTAACAAAATTTTTATTGTCTCAACTAAAGTTGCAATTATACAAATTAAAACATTACAAATTTGGTTTCATTAAACAAAGTATTTTTCATGTAAACATTATTCACAATCAAAGAAATGTGTATATCTATTTCTTTTGCGTTTACAATAAAAAAAGAAGCTAATCATTACAAATTGAAATTATTTCTCCTTGCGATTTAAAAAAAAAAAAAAAAAAAAAAAAAAATTTCTAAGTAGCTCTCACAAAAATCGGAGAAACAGAAAAACACAAAAGTTGAAAAAAATGTAGTTCACTAAAATACGAAATTATACATAAATTCACTAGAAAACATTATACCGTTAAAAGTAGAGCAACAGAATTTATGAAATGGAGAGTAGAGAGCATGTAAGTGTTTTCTACTTTCCATTTCATATATGCTTAAAAATTCTTTTTTTTGTCTTAAGAATATGAATATATCAAACGTGCTATATAGAATATAACTTCTTGAAAAAAAAAAATAACAGTTTCTTAATTGAAGGAAGTTAACACTTAACCAATGTCTTTACTGTACGTATACAACATTGTACAATTGAAAACAAAAAAAAGAAAAACTTTCATAACGTATAATTTTCGCCTCAATGATTGATTTTACGCTAGAATCGAGAGGAAATTCATCTTATGTCCCAGTGATAAAAAAAAATTATATAGTTCTGTCTCAGCAAATAAAACAATACCCACAATAACTTGACCTACTTAATAATCAGCGTGAAAAATGTAATGATAATAAAACAATTAATAAAAAAAAAAAATTGTTCCTTCTTTTAAGGAATCAAAATTAACTTTTCTTCATTTTTTTTTCACTAATACGCTTTGCACTTTGCTAAAAATTATATTTTTATTGTTCCAATGACCTTCCTATATTTCTACGACCGCTTTTAATCTTATTTCTGGGCTAAGCAATTAAGCAATGATGTTAAAAATAATTTTACAGTTAGCAAATAAATGTAATTAAACATGAGATCAGCCGAAAGTGACCCCGTTGATCAGAGAATCTTCTTACACTTATATTGATGTCCTTTGAGCCTTTTCATCTATATAGTAGTGCCACCATTATAGCGAAACGGCTGGCTGACGACGACGTATATAGCGACCATATCTTCTGTGAGAGTAGTACAATTTGAACATCAAAAAGCATACAACTTGGCAGGTCGGAAAGTTGTTAAACGGTGAAAGTATAATTTAATAAAAATCTAGAATCTTATGGGAAATCCTTTGCGGGAGGAAGTCCAAGAGCAACACAGTATATATATATATACATATAATAGAGGTGTGAGAATGTCTCAATAATGAAGATCACTGCTCGCGACAAGAATAAATACGATAATAATGATAAGATGTAATTAGTGCGTGACCAAGTCACTAAACTACATTTAAACTCTCTGACATGTTTCAGCACTTAACTAATTATTATCGTGTATTTGTTTTTTACTATTTTCTTTTTTTTTTGTTTGAATTTTACAATGGGTTTCATTTTGAATTCAAGATATTCCCCAAAATAAATTTATTGAAATTTCTACAGTGTCAAATCAAAAACACTCTCTAAATCTGAATTAGTAAAAATGTTTACTAATTTAAATTAGTGACTCACTTTTTGCTTTAGAATTAGTAAAATTTTACTAATTATTTTACTAATTTATTTTAGAGAGCACAGCCTGCGGAGCAACGGACACTTGAATGCTAAAATGCTTTTGTTCCGGGAACGACTTGAAATTTTCACACAATATTCTTGAAATATTATACATTCATTAAATTTTTTTTTTTAAAAAATGCAAAAAAAATTAAATATCATAACTCCCCCTTAAAGAATAATAATCATATAGCTATTGTGGAAATAGCCTGAACTCTATTCTACAAAATTGATTGGTTTCTAATTGTCCCCACTCGCCATTTGTCATAATTCTCGTCAACTACCGCACCCAGTTCTAGTAAAAATTTAGTGACTTTATTGTTAAAATTAAAAGTTACTATAAAGTTACTAAATTTTCACTAGAGCAGGGTGCGGTAGTTGACGAGAATTATGACAAATAGGGACAATGGAAACCAACCAATATTACTATTCTGCTATGTCGATGAAAAAAAGTTGTAGAAGCAGCTTTACTATACTGTAGTAACAGACAGGCCGTTTCCGAATTGGGATTTTTAGCGCACTTTTGATAAATTGTATACTCGGGAAGTATGCAGTGTCCTTGTTTTTCGGTGCGAAGAAAAAGACACTGCATACTTCCCGAGTATACAATTTATCAAAAGTGCGCTAAAAATCCCAATTCGGAAACGGCCCTAGAGATCCTGCTTATGACATGAGACAATCTTGAGTCTTATCTACCCAACCTTGTTGATCGACTTATTTTTCATATCAATGTTATTATGTTGACTTTAAAGGTAAAAGTTTTTTATTTAATGATTTGAAAAGTATTGTAATTAATTAAAAATTAATTGAACAATTTATAAAGACAGAGATGTGGCAAAAATTCGTTTTATCGCGTGAAATAGGAGAAGTTGAACTAAATTCTGTAGGTTATATTTTGCTTCCTCGTGGAGGAAGCTTTGTAGTCCTGTCGTTTATAAAACTTTTCAAAGTGGCGGAAACAAATTTTTTTCTTTATAGAAACATGTTATATGAGATCCTGATCAATTGTCCGGATGTATGTATGTGTGTGTTTGTGTATGTATGTATGTGTGTGTGTGGATCCCTCTTTGTTTAGAAGATAACTTTAACAGGTTTTAATGGATTTAGATAAAATTTGGTAGGCTCATTTATCATATTAATATTTCAAATCTGACCAAAGGATTTTGAAAAATACCCCCAAAAAAAAATTTTATCGTCTTTTTTCCAAAAATGTTTTTTTAATTGAAAAAATTTTTAAATAGAAAAATTTAAGGTTATATATAATAAAATCGTATTCCTTACGTCAAGACGAATCGATCGATATATATATAAAGTATACATTTGAGGTAAATTTAAAGAATTAATGAAAGTTAAAAAATCAAAAATTCACATTTTGGCAATAAAATTTTGCTTTCTCCACGAGGAAGCAAATTTTTTTGCTAATCGTAAAGAGGAAGCAAAATGTTCATGTAATGAACATCTGAATTTACAACTTGTTTTAATTATTCCAAATATTTGATTTATTTGAGCTAATATTTAATCTTTTGGCACAAAATAAATTCACATGTCTGATTAAAATACTTCTTGTATATTTTATAGTAAATTTTTTTCTCTGCACTAAAAAAAAAATTGATTTGATTCAAATAAAAATTATTTGCTACAAGTAAATATTTATTTGATAATAGTCAAGAAACTAATTAAATAATTTTTTTTCACTGTATTGAATTTAATTCAAGATTTATTTTTCATATTTTTCTTTCGCCGTAAAAAAATATCAGGAAAAGGATATTAGAAATTTTCTATATTATATTATATTAAATTTTTTTAAATTTAGGCGCAATTTTTTTTTATTAATTTTTTTATTTTTACACACATGAAAGTAAGAAGAAATTTGTTTAAAAAAAAAAAATTTACTTTTTTTTCTTTTTTTTTTTTATTTTTCAAAATGAAAAGTGTTTTTGACACTAGGATCAACTAGTAAACTCATAGAAAAGCAAATTAAAATACATTTTATTTTGAAAAATTAAAAAAAAAAGAAAAATTTTTTTTTAAAACAAATTATATAATCAAAAGGATCATCATTGCCCACTCCAAAACTTATTACAAAATTTTCTTCTTATTTTCATGTGTGTAAAAATAAAAAAAAATGAAAAAAAATCGCGCCTAAATTTAAAAAAATTTAATTTGTTTATAAAAAATTACTATTTTTTTATAAACAAATTCAAAATTTTTTTTTTCGTTTACATATTTTGAAAGTCGATGAAAAACTGAATCTTTTTTTTATTTTGGTCATAATTCCTAAATTCAATACTTTTAAGAGTTACATGCCATTGAAATTAGATGTATTTCAAAAAAACTTGAAAAAATCAGATTTTTAAAAATTCATAACTCGAAAATTTGAGCACTTATAAAAAAAAAAAAAAAGAATACGTAAATCTTTTTTTTCTACAAAGAATAAGAAAAAAATATATTTAGACAAATTTAAAAGGTCATAGGTATAAATCTCACGTGGAATCGACTATATTATGTTAAAATATTAGGTAAATGGCTATAGCTCGTAGTAAAATAATAATTTTTTAATTATTTTTAACCTATTTTTAAATAAATTAATTTGCAAAAATGAATGAAAATATTTAAAAGTCCGACATTTTTTATCATTTCACTATAAAATTTTACTACAGGCTATAGCCATTTACCTATAATATTTTGACATGCAATTTGAATTTTTAAATTCCAATATTTCTTACTTGAGATATCGCATGTCAACCAGATTTTTATGTGCTTCCCTTCAATATATATATATGTGAAATAATATATAAAAGTTACAGGAGATTTTAATAAATTTTATTGTAAAAAAAAATTCTTGAAATTATGTGCACAAAATATCCATATTGATCCCTTAAATAAATATTTATTAGTCAATTATTTTAATTTTTAATTAACTCAATATTTTTTCAGTAACAACTTTTTCAATAATAATTACAAGAAAAATTCCATAATTCAAAAATATTTTATAATATACATTTTAAAAATTATTTAAAATTAATTATTATTTTACACAATATTAAGTGAGTCATTAAAAACAAAGTTATTTAACGGTTAAGACAGTATCGTGTTGTGCACGCATGTCGATCTTAATTAGTATATCGACATTATTATATAGTTCGATACGGCCTATCGAACAGTTACAATGTGTCCGATATCCTCCCGGATGAGGGGGATGGTTAACCGCATCAGAGCAAAAAAAAATAAAAAATAAATAAATAAAAAAAAAAAAAGGAAACGGAAGAAGACCTAAAGAAATGAGAAGATAGTATATATTTTATAATGATCGCTGAATTGAGGCCCGTGCGGATATAAAATTGTGGGGGAGGTGACAGAGAGGGAAAGGCCGACACACAGAAAGAGAGAGAGAAGAACAATAAGAGAAAGGGAAAAGGATGGAGAGCAAGAAGAAGATGCAAAATGGACCACGTACCAAGAAGTGGGGACCTGCATTAAAAGTAAACGGGGCCATCGTCTCAGCCCCAGAGCTATCTCGGACCTTGAAGAGTTAAGGTCATTGCTACGGTTACGGGTTCAGTGCAGCTGTTGTTTATGTAATTACAAATCTTGGCACGTGCTTCAGGCCCCAGTTTTGACGGTCAGTGTCTGTGGAACATTAGAAAATAAATTATCAAGACGTAAGATTCGGCAAGATTTTCCTTCTCTCAGTGAAAAAAAAACAAAATTTCTTTTCCATTTTGTGCGAGAGATAATCACACAGAAAATTGTGTTGTATTTAGATTTTTATTAAAAATAAGCTTGAAAAATGGATTAAAATGAAAATCATCGCAGCTTATTAAAAATTCATTACAATTTTCTTTGATGGTTTTGAAAAATTTGACAAAAACAAATGTGATTTTGAAATACATAAAGTGACTCACTTGTTTGTGAGAAATTTGCCGGTGCAAATAAAAAATATATATATATTTTCCTGTTTTTACTTTTATTATTATTATTTTTTTTTGTACCTTTATCTGAGAGACGAGATTAAACCGGTAAAATCGTGAGGATATCAAGGGAGAGGAAATATACTTGCTGCATCCTACAAAAAAAAAGTGCGACAAAATCTTTATTCTTGACTGAAAACCGTGAGGAAATACTTTGCTTTTTTGTTGCAAAAGAGAATTTTTTTTTTTTATTATAAAAAGTTTCAGATTGACAAGATTGAATGATAAAATAATGAAGAAATTTTTTTTTTCAAAAAATCACAAAAAATAGTAAAAAGAAAAATAGGAAAGGAAGAAATTTTATCAAACACTCCGAGTCAGAGTGATTAATAACATTTTTTATTTTCTTTAAAACATTTACTGAGTGATAAATCTAAAAATTATATATAAAAAAAAGAATGAAAAAGTGACTTACTTTCTACTTTTTCAAAAAATTATAATTTTTTTAATGTTAAAAATTGGAAAGTGCCTTTACTTTTTTTCTTCTATTACAAAAAAAAAAAATAGAAAATAATATATAGATTTTCTTTTTCTAATATTCTTCATTTTTTTTCTCTATATAAAAGTGAAAGTTTTCAATGTAATACAATGAATATAATTTCATTTTTTTTCCCCAAAATTTGTAAATTTTCAAAAATTTTATTCTAAAAAGTATGAATAAATAATAAAATTTTTTTAATTTTACAAATTATTTTTCACAAAATTTTATAGAACAAAAATTAAAACCTCCATGATGTTGGTGTCGACGCTCAGCGCTGAAAATTGTTTTTTTTTCACAGAACCAAAAATGTGAAATTATTTTTGTTTAAAATTTTCAGTTCAAATAATACCTTGAGAAATAGTTTTCAAATTATTATGTGGAGCCAAAACCATTTTAAAAGTGATTAGATATTTTTGGTCCTGTGAAAAATAATTTTCGACGCTGAGCGTCGACGCCACAACTTCATGGAGGTAAATTAAAATAATTGTAAAAAAGAGGACGATAAATAAAAATTACTTTTATATTTATTTTTCATCTTTTTTCTAAAGAATAATAAAAATAACATTAAAAAATATAATAAAAAAATAATATAAAATAATAAAATTTTTTATGTATTCTAATAAAAATTTTAATACTTAAATTTTATAAATATAAAAATATATGGTAAAAATAAAAAAAAATGACAATTTTTGAGTAAATATGTAATTCACGAATATGGAATAAAAAAAAATTTTTTTTGTAAACATGTATAAATGAAAAATTGTTTAATTATGTATATGAGGTGAATTTCCTGAAGTGGTCAAATAGTCAAAAATTGAACATTGCATTTTTTGAAAAATCATAACTATATTATATAAAAGAATGATGATGGTGCAAAAATCTTTTTAAAAAATTCAAAATTTACCCCTTTTTTGAAAACCAAAAATCATTTTTGATTTTCTTTTTTTAATATAAAGGACCATTTTTATTTCTTTTTTTACCCTGTTTTTTATCCCGTTCTTTCGAATGGAGCAACATTTTTTTAAAAAATTCAAAATTTACCCTTTCTTTTGGAAAATCAAACAAAAATTTTGACTTTTTTTTAATAAAGGACCATTTTTATTTCTTTTTTTTTACCCCTTAAATTAAAGCTTAAAATGTATGATTTTAATAAACAAATTAAACAAAATTGATTAATTAATATCTCGAAAACAAAAAAAAACGACATTTTATTTAATTTGTTTATTAAAAGCATACATTTTAAGCTTCAATTTAAGGGGTAAAAAAAAAGAAATAAAAATGGTCCATTATTAAAAAAAAGTCAAAAATATTTTTGATTTTCTGTTCTGTTCTGTTCATCTTTGACCAAAATTTTAATCCTCTCCCCCCTCTACACTTTTTGATAAAAATTTATGGGTGAAGTACTAAATGTTATGCAAATTGCAACCCGATCTATTAATTTTTTTTTCTTCAATTGTATCACTTCAGAAATTTTATGCCTCGTATTTAAATTCTTTCCTTTATTGCAATATGAAAAAAATAATATACAAATAATTAAAGATTATTTTGCGTCAAATAAAACGGAATATTTTTCACACATACACATACACACAAGAATGGGGTGAAGCCAAATATTTTTCTGAACTTTTAACACTAAAGTACCGCTTTAATTTGCCTTGCACTTAACGGAGTGTGCACTGTTTGCAATTTATGGTTCGTATAATTATCGCCATTGCATACTGATTTCCGCAATTATTTATGAACTCTTTTACACAGTTACGTGGAAAATTTCATTTCAATTTATAACTTTTTTACAAACATAATTATAAGAATCTATTAACAGACATTCAAATAAAGAAGAAGAATCGTCTAAGAAACACACACTATTTTTAAGGACAGATCCAAGTGAGGCAGCGCCATCTACATTGAAACTAAAATTTTGGAAAATTTTTAACAGCCTTTTCTTAAAAACAAGAAGGTAAAATGCTTTTTCCTTTATGGATAATTGATTATTGGCAAGATATACACCAGCTAAAACTTTTTTTGAGTTAAAATAATAAAAAAAATTTCATGTCAATAAATTAAATGTGAGCACTTTTTTCACAAAAACTGTAAAAGTACTTTCTCAGAAATTACAATCAAAAATGCAATTTCTATTTGGAAAATTAATGAACGCTAAAAAAATACACGACCTAAGATTTACCAATCACGAAAATAACAAAAAAAAATTTTCGGCAAAACTGCGAAACGTCTGGTGACATATATAACCTGCCAAACGGCTGTCATAATGAGGAAAATATGTCATGTTAAAATACTTTTTTTTGTTATTTTCGTGATTGGTAAATCTTAGGTCGTGTATTTTTTAGCGTTTATTAATTTTCCAAATGGAAATTGCATTTTTGATTGTAATTTCTGAGAAAGTACTGTTACAGTTTTTGTGAAAAAAAGTGCTCATATTTAATTTATTGACATGAAATTTTTTTTATTATTTTAACTTAAAAAAAGTTTTAGCTGGTGTATATCTTGCCAATAATCAATTATCCATAAAGGAAAAAGAATTTTACCATCTTGTTTTCAAGAAAAGGCTGTTGAAAATTTTCCAAAATTTTAGTTTCAATGTAGATGGCGCTGCCTCACTTGGACCTGGCCTTAAGGGGATGCACTATCTTTTGGACAACTTTAAATTTTAATGATCGCACAATGTTGGCACTTTTTTTATTGCATCATTTTTGGATCCTAAAAACATACAAAGTGGTTAAAAAAAATAAAAATCTTAATTTTTGACTATTTAAAAAATCAAAAATGCAAAAAATAATAAAATTAATTTTCAATGTCAATTAAAAATTAATGGCAAATATTTTTCTTTTCAGATGTCGTCAAAAGGAGCATTCTATCTGCTTCTCATAGCCCTCATCTTTAATATTTCACTCGCCAGTACGAAATATTATGTAAAATTGAGAGATAATCCATCGGATGCATTTAAAACAAAAAATCCCTACGATCTTCGTGTTCTTCATTATCCACTTAGTGGAGGAAGAGTTTCTCTTCAAGATGATATTGGAGCCAGAATTCAAGATGAAGATCAATCGGCATCCAAAGATTTTGGTCCAAAACTTGAGAGACGACATTCTTTTGAAGAGTCCGCAACATTTAATCCCGATGTTCTTAATAAATTTTTAGAAGAATATGCAAGTAAAATAAAAAGTACAACTGAAAGAAATTATAAATATCCATTTAGAGTGATGTCTGAGGAGAAACCAACAAATTTTGGAATCAATATCGATGGACCTCTGGAGAAGGAAATTATCTCCTCGGAGACTGTCGTTAATTTAAATTCTTCACAAGGGGTGGGAATTATAGATTTTTAATTGTTAAAAATTACTATCAATTATTGAATCAAAAAAATTTATTTTATAAATTTTTTTTTTAAATGGAAATAAAAGAACAAAATTTTTTAAAATTATTTTATTCTGTGAATGATGTATTAGATTTAAAAAAAAAACATATTTCAAGGAAGTATTTATTTCTAATAGTTTGTTATTTTTAGCACTTTAGTGATTTGAACGATACCTCAAAGAGAAACAGTTACTGGAGTGGTAGCAATTCCCACGACGATAGAAATGGATGGGTGACTTTGGATGCAGTTCCTTGGTCAAAGAGCAAAATTTCTAAATGGCAAGCAAATAATCCTACTTCACAACGTCCGTGGCCTGATGCAAAACCATGGGACAAGCCAAATACCGGTAAACCATGGCAATCAGATTACACGTCCAGGCCAACTTACGAAAACAACAAACCATGGTGTGTATATGAAAAAAAATAAACGTGGAGCATTTCAAATGAAATTTTTTCATTTTTTTTTTAATTTTAAATAATCAGCAAAAATTTTTAACGATTCGTGGAATTTACACATTGATTTATAATAATTGCGATAATATTATAACATATTATACAATTAATAATAATAACCATTTTATCACTCGGTCGTCTTTAATAATGTAGTAAAATTTAACAATCACTCCGCATCAAGGTAATTATTGTAATTCAATATAAAAATTCCATAAATCATTCTAAATTTCAGAGCTGCAGTACGGGCAGTAATTGTCTTTACGCTTGACGAGCCTAGAGTGGAAATTTGATGCTGACAAAAACCCTTTAACGCCTAAATGTGATACTTTTCGGCATGGATTTCAATTTCGTACTATTAGCAGAAAAAAAAATTATAAATTTCAAACATACCGTTTTAATAAATTTCAAGTGAATCCGATGAATTTTTAAAAACATTTCCGCCATTTTGATTTTTTTAAATCTAACTTCAGATTCGTTTTCAGCGACCCCAAAAACCCCCGAGTAACAAATTTCAAGTGAATTTGAGTAATTAAAAAAAAATCCATTATTTTCGAAATATTTTTGGCTTTCAGGCGCCATTTTCAATAAATAAACTAAAAAAAAAAAATACGAATACATATGTTTAAACTACAGCTATCGCAAACACGTTTCTCATAGCGTAAACGATACCTAGAAATTTTGAAAAACTTGAATTTTTTGAAGAAAAAGAGGGATTAAATTTTATTTTTAGGAAATTTTGACCATGCCATTCGAAAGAGCGACCTCAAAAATAGTTACAAACGGTATGTTTGAAATTTATAAATTTTTTTTTTTTTTTTTTGATAGTAGTACGAAATTGAAATCCAAGTCAAAAAAAAATTCAAGAAAAAAATATACAGTTTTTCTACTTTCGTACTAATGTTTTTGACTCCCGGCATAATCTACAATAATGTATTGAAAAATTTGAAATTTTTACAACATAATCTTTAAGATGTTAGCTTTAATATGCCTTTTTGGGACATAAAAAATGTTTGTGGTTCCTGAAATATGTTACCCACATAGCACGACTTCTTGCTGTGAGGTTACTGTAAGGATATATGTAGGGTTTGTAAGGTTACCGTGTAAGCCTACAGTAAACTTAAAAAAAATCATCTTAAAACTTCCGCCATTACAGTAAGCTTACACAGTAAAGCTAAGGTAAGCTTACACAGTAAGGTCGTGGTAAGGTTACATGGTAAGGTTGTTGTAAGCTTCCCGTAAGGTTACTGTAAGGTTGCTGTAAGGTTACTGTAAACATAGAGTAATATGAAAATATATTAAAAATAATTATATTATAATATATATTATATTATAAATTTTTTTTTAAAATTATTTATTTGGTAAAGTACTTCATGAATCCCAATAGGGTTTGTTAAATAAAATTTACTGCGCAGCCGTATGTGCCACAGAAAACTACTGCGCATAAATATTAATCAAATTTATTTATTAATAACATTCTATGTTTACAGTAACCTTACGGGAAGCTTACCACGACTTTACTGTGTAAGCTTACTGTAATGGCGGAAATTTTAAGATAACCTCAAGTTTACTGTAGGCTTACACGGTAACCTTAAAAACCCTACAGATATCCTTCCAGTAACCTCGCAGCAAGAAGTCGTGCTATGTGGGTAAAAAATATCCGAGCATGTTTTTCTTCAACTCAGCCGTCAATCATAACTTTTCGTCGCCTCGCTGCGAACATTTTTAACATATTTCAGGAACCTCAAAACATTTTTTTAATTTTCAAAAAGGCATATTAAAGCTAAGATCTGCGAAAGTTTAAAATTTTTACATACGTTATTCTAGATTATGCCAGGAGTCAAAAATATTAGTACGAAAGTAGGAAAATTGTATTTTTTTTTCTTAAATACTTTCCGTTGTTATAATCGCTCCAAAAAGTGAAGAAAAAAAATTCTTGATATACATTCAGATGCAGAATTTTATCAGCTTTCCAACCATCTAAGTTTCAAGTTTCAAACTATTTTCTAACTTAAAATATCTTGCTTTAAAGTCAGCATCAAATTTCCACTTTACGCACGTTAAGTATACCGACAATTTCTGCCGGGATTGTATAATTGAGAAAGAATGAATATTCCTCACATTAGACCTGTCGTAATTTCTGTGGTGTCGAATTAAGGGGGGATCATTTTAAAAAATATGACATCAAAAATAAAATTCCAAATGGCGAACATATATTTTTTAATTTATGCAAAAATCAAGTTCCATTAAAATACTTAAAAATTTTTAAAATTATGTCGGCCATTTTGGATCCGCTATTTTTAATTTTTTAATTTGAAAGTTAAATTCGAATTTAGCACCCTTGAAAACCCCCTTATACCAAGTTTCATTAAAATACGTTAAAAATTTAAAAATTATGTCCACCATTTTTGATCCGACATTTTTAATTTTTTAATTTGAAGTTGAAATTCGAATTTAGCGACCCCATACATTTAATGTTGGCTTAAATTGAAAAAAAAATTTTTTCGCGATTTTCACTGGTTTTTAATTGTTATATTACTTAAAAATAATAAATGAGGGGCTGATAGTAAAAATGGTTTAAAATAACATTGGGAGTAAAAGTGGGATAAGTGACTTGGGAGCAAAAACGGGTTAAAATGATTCGTGTAATTTATTGATAAATTCATTATATTAACGATTAAAAAATATTAACAATAGGAAAAAATGCATATTTTATTATAATTAATATTTTTTAATCGATAATATAATGAATTTATCAATAAATTACACGAATCATTTTAACCCGTTTTAGCTCCCAAGTCACTTATCCCACTTTTGCTCCCAATGTTTTTTTAAACCATTTTTACTATCAGCCCCTCAAATACTAATACATTTGTACCTATTTCGCTTAAAAATGTTGTAAGTTAACACCGTCGAATAAGGGTTAAATCAGAATTTACTTAAATAGAAAATCTTCGATATGAAAATTCGTGTAATTATATAAAATCTACTTTATAAAATTCTGCTAAATAAGAATTCGATAATTTTTAATTCGACACCACATTAATTTCGACAGGTCTAATGTGAGGAATATTCACGCGTCCCTATAATATTTTTTTCGATCTAGACGACTTTCTCCTAAATAAATAGATTAATAAGAAAATAATAATAATAAATAAATAATTATTAATAAGTAAACAAATTTACAAATAGGTTGAAGCCAAATTGGCAAGAGCAATCGGGAGAAAAACCCTGGCTGTTGGATCGACCAAAACCTAGTCAATCAATGAGGCCCATCATTGATAGATATGAAGAAAATCCCGAACAAGCACAAACATGGCCACCTGAGAATAAGCCCTCATGGAATAGATATCCTGATAAATATCGACCAACAGGTGACATTATAACCGATGAGAGACCATCAAATTTTCCCAACTCTTGGGATCGACCGCAATTAACAAAGCCAAGTTACACATTTCCCGATAGGTATACAATTAAAAATGAAGATGAAACGGGCAATTGGAAAACACAAAATTATAACGACAGATATGACAAATATCGACCCAGCGATTCCAATGACAGGCCAAATTTCTCTCAATATCAATATTTAAATGATCGTCCATCGAGTCATCCATCAAGTGGCGATGGAGAATGGATTTTATTATCAACAAATCGTGGCTATTCGAAATCACGTCAGAGATCAATTAAAATTGATTCAATTAAACCCGAAAGTTTAACAATTGTTAACGGTACGAAAATACAAAATAATTCAAAAATGGATGATAATGATCCACCTGTTCCTGTATTGACTTCAAGACGACAGGTTAGATGAATCCTTTTTTTTTCTCGTTATTTTTAATTTTACAGTGGCGCATGAATATCCTGTAAATAAAATTAGAATTTTTCATTTTAAACAAATTTTATTAAGGCCATGTGAGACAAAGTCACTTTTTGGTAGTTCCAAGTATTCTCGGAAATGAAAAGAAATTTTGGGATGAAATTTTGAGGAATGATAAAAAAAGGGTTGAAGGAATTGGGCCGTTCTACTTATTTACTGTAATTGAATGCGAAATAATTTAAAAAAGTAATTAATAGTGGAGTTAATAGGTTTTTGTTATTTCTTTGAGCGGACACTAACTCGAATTGGCGCTAGTTCCTCGACCACTGATACATTCACGCGACTTCTGTGTGTACCCCCGCCATGTTGACATCAACTTTCGTTCAAAATTGGGAATTTCCAAACTTTTATTTTTAATACTTAAACGCATAATATTGTGCTTTAAATCGAGAACAGCGCCATTCTGAAAGCTATTCTCTGTCATATTTTACAAATTTCAACTAAAAATTCTTTACCATTTAAATAAACGGAATTCATAGGTTACTGAATTATTATTTAACAGAATTTTTATTTTAAATATTTTCTCTTTACCCAACTGTTTATTAAAAAGAATTCTAATCTAACCTAATTTTAATTTTACAGGATTCTTATTTAAGGCCAGGTCTAAGTGAGGCAGCGGCATCTATATTGAAACTAAAATTTTTGAAAATTTTCAACAGCCTTTTCTTGAAAACAAGATGGTAAAATGCTTTTTCCTTTATGGATAATTGATTATTGGCAAGATATACACCAGCTAAAACTTTTTTTGAGTTAAAATAATAAAAAAAATTTCATGTCAATAAATTAAATATGAGCACTTTTTTCACAAAAACTGTAACAGTACTTTCTCAGAAATTACAATCAAAAATGCAATTTCCATTTGGAAAATTAATAAACCTAAAAAATACACGACCTAAGATTTACCAATCACGAAAATAACAAAAAAAAAGTATTTTAAAATAACATATTTTACTCATTATGACAGCCGTTTGGCAGGTTATATATGTCACCAGAAGTTTCGCAGTTTTGCCGAAAGGAGGAGATTGGCGCTGTTTCTAACCACCTGAAATACATAATCTACCAAAGGGCTGTCACAATCAGTAAAGCAGTATCAATATGTTAAATATTTAATAAAATTTTTTTTTGTTATTTTCGTGATTGGTAAATCTTAGGTCGTGTATTTTTTAGCGTTTATTATCTTTCCAAATGGAAATTGCATTTTTGATTGTAATTTCTGAGAAAGTACTGTTACAGTTTTTGTGAAAAAAGTGCTCATATTTAATTTATTGACATGAAATTTTTTTTATTATTTTAACTCAAAAAAAGTTTTAGCTGGTGTATATCTTACCAATAATCAATTATCCATAAAGGAAAAAGCATTTTACCTTCTTGTTTTCAAGAAAAGGCTGTTGAAAATTTTCCAAAATTTTAGTTTTAATGTAGATGGCGCTGCCTCACTTGGACCTGGCCTTAACATAAATTTAGGTGAGTCAATTTTTTAACTACAAGAACTTTTAATTCCCAAAATTTTTATTTCAAAAAATTTTCATTTGATTAATCATTATTTGACAGAATTCTTAAAACGGAAAATTTTCATTTGACCGAATTTAGAAATGACTGAAAAAACAATCGATACAAAAATTTCGCGCGAATTTTAAAATTAACCAATCACAATTTTCTTTATAATTTCCGATTGGTTGATTTTTAAATTGACGCTAAATAATTTTGTCAGTTGTTTCTTCGGCCATATGCAATTTCAATCAAATTCTACGTTTTAAGAATTCTATCAAATAACGATTTGTCAAATAAAACATCTTAGAAATAAAGATTCGGTGTTTTAGAAATTTTTGCTTTTGAATATCGACTCACTTAAAATTATGTTAAATAAGAATTCTGGTAAATTACAATTGATTAAATTATAATTTTTTTTAATAAACAGTTAAGTAAAACGAAATTATTTAAAATAAAATTATTTTAAGTAATAATTCAGTAACCTATAAATTCCATTTAATAAATATTCGTTTATTAACCTTTTAAGGACCAAATTATTTCTTAAAAAATTACGATTTTTGATTTTTAAACAAGTATTTTAGCGAAAGTAATTAAGCTTTTTATCTCAAAATCAGAATTTAGAATTGGAAATTTATTAGACTAAATGAAAAACATTGGTTTAATATTTAGTTTTAAAAATCAAGGAAATTAAGCTTAAGATAACAGATAAAATGTTCATGTTGCCTGAAAGCAACACTTGACCTCAAAGGGTCAAGAAATTCGTTCAAAAGATATTTAGAAAAATTGAAATTTTGACTAAAAGAATGTTCTATTTAATAAATTTTTCTTTTTAAATGAAAATTCTAAATAATTTGATTAATAGGATATTCATGCGCTTCCATAAAAATCATTAGGTTAGAATTTTTATTTGAAAACATTTTATTAGATATAATTATTTTTTAGACGAATATTTATTTTTCGAATTAGAATTTGACACAATTTCTCTTTAAACGAATTTTTATTGTACAGAATTTTTAAAACGCCGAATTTTTATTTGTTCGAAATTGCAAATGGCCGAACATACAATTAACAGAAAGATTTTGGCGCGTTTTTTAAAATTGACCAATCACGATTTTCTTGACAATTTCTGATTGGTAAATTTTGAAAAACGCGCTAAAATCTTTCTGTTGATTGTTTGTTCGGCTATTTGCAATTTCGAACAAATAAAAATTCTATGTTTTAAGAATTCTGTACAATAAAAATTGGTTTAAAGAGAAATTATGTCAAATTCTAATTCGAGAAATTGAATATTCGTCTGAAAAATAATTATATCTAATAAAATTCTTTCAAATAAAAATTCTAACTTAATGATTTTCATGGGATAATCATGCGCCCCGTATTAAAATAATAGCCGGTCATCTTATTTAAATAGAATAGTTAAAGTATTCGAAAGAGTAAAAAGAATATCTAATTTTAAGTGAGAAAGGAGTTATATTTTTAGGTAAAATGCTTTTTTAAAATGATCTTTGTTAAATTTCTGAATGTAATTTTTGTTTATTTATTAGTGATTGAAATCTTATTTTCAACGAAAAATTAAGATTTAAATTAAAACTAGTCTTAATTTTAAGGTTATAATGTAATTTAAAAACACTTCTTAAAATAAGATTTTCTTTTTATTGTAAAAATGAATATGTTACTAATTGAAATTATCGTCGAACAATTTTTTTTACCAATTTAGATTTTTAATTATAAAGTAATCAAATAAGGTTGAAATTTTTTGACACTTAATTAAACAAAACACATAAGCTCAATTAAAATTTTTTAAACTTCACTTTAAAATTATTAATTTGACTGTTGATTTAATTTTTTAATCTTTTCAAACTCAGAAAAAACTGAACATTTAAGAAAAGAAAGCTGCAGTTTTTATAGAGTCACTGATTACGAATCTGTCATCTGATATTAAATATGTAATTAGTGATCCCGAAAACAAGTTTCAAAGTATTTTGTAAGATTTTTAAAAATGGGCGCCATATTGGATTCGCCATTTTGAATTTTAAAAAATAACTTTTAAAATTGAAAAAAAAATTAAACTAGATTCATGAAATTTCAACATTATTTTATTATATGTGATGCGCTTTGAAGAAAGGGACCTAAGAAGCAAAAAATTTTAGGTTATGTTTATGAAATTTCATGGCTAATATACACAAAGAAGATCAACTTTAAAATACAACTAATCGAAGCTTAAGTGTTCATTAGATCCAAAATAATAATAATAATAATAATAATAACAGAAAAGGAACTTTTAAACAAAGAAAAACTAAAATAAACATAACCTAAAATTTTTTGCTTCTTAGGTACCTTTCTTCACAGCGCGTCACATATATAGACACATTATATTTGAAAAGTGATACCATTTAGTGACTTGTTCCATGACTCAGTGTCTGATATAAAACTGCCTTTTCTACTGGGACAACTCGTTGAAATGTCTAATTCAGTAGTAGAAATGGAAAGTAATCAACAGACGTTGGTATAATGTATATTATACAAAACTGTTTAAAGAGGTTTTTTTTTTAAAAATATTTTCGCCATTTTTCACATATTTACAATAAATAATTTTTTTCTTTCAGCTTAGACAAAAATTGCAATTTTTTTTATAAACAATAGCTCATTTTACTTTTTTGAAACATTCTCTATATAATCGTAATTTTTTCAATGTTATAAAAAATATAAACAAATCAAATTGTTTTTATTTTTATTAAATAATTTTTTAACAACATTGAAAAAATTACGACTGCAGAAAATCTATTTTAATGCAAGTAAAATAAAAAAAGAGTTAATATAATAAATATTTTTATAATCTAATTTAAAAAAATATTTTGGATAAAAATTGAATCGTAAATTTCGAAAAAGGCTCAACTCGAAAAAGCTTAAGGCCAGGTCCAAGTGAGGCAGCGCCATCTGCATTGATACTAAAATTTTGGAAAATTTTCAACAGCCTTTTCTTGAAAACAAGATGGTAAAATGCTTTTTCCTTTATGGATAATTGATTATTGGCAAGTTATACACCAGCTAAAACTTTTTTTGAGTTAAAATAATAAAAAAAATTTCATGTCAATAAATTAAATATGAGCACTTTTTTCACAAAAACTGTAACAGTACTTTCTTAGAAATTACAATCAAAAATGCAATTTCCATTTGGAAAATTAATAAACGCTAAAAAATACACGACCTAAGATTTACCAATCACGAAAATAACAAAAAAAATTTTATTAAATATTTAACATATTGATACTGCTTTAATGATTGTGACAGCCCTTTGGTAGATTATGTATTTCAGGTTGTTAGCAACAGCGCCAATCTCCTCCTTTCGGCAAAACTGCGAAACGTCTGGTGACATATATAACCTGCCAAACGGCTGTCATAATGAGTAAAATGTGTTATGTTAAAATACTTTTTTTTTGTTATTTTCGTGATTGGTAAATCTTAGGTCGTGTATTTTTTAGCGTTTATTAATTTTCCAAATGGAAATTGCATTTTTGATTGTAATTTCTGAGAAAGTACTGTTACAGTTTTTGTGAAAAAAGTGCTCATATTTAATTGATTGACATGAAATTTTTTTTATTATTTTAACTCAAAAAAAGTTTTAGCTGGTGTATATCTTGCCAATAATCAATTATCCATAAAGGAAAAAGCATTTTACCATCTTGTTTTCAAGAAAAGGCTGTTGAAAATTTTCCAAAATTTTAGTTTCAATGTAGATGGCGCTGCCTCACTTGGACCTGGCCTTAAATGTCATTTTCGTATAACAATCGAAAGTGAAAATGACTCTTTTCGAAATTCACGATTCATTGTAATTTTTGTCTGAAAAGAAAGAAAAAAAATCATTATTTGACGAACTATTTGGATACAATATAATTTTTTCTAAATTGTGTATATAACTGAGAAGTAGGTTTATGACACTCTAAATTTGAATCAGTGAAAAAGTCACTGGTCTCAAATCAGTCGCTAAATTTTAGCTATTTGAATCAGTAACATTTCACTGATTTTCAGTCAAAGTAATTGATTCTCCAGTGGAATGTCACTAACTGTCAGTGAAAACCACTGATTCAAATAGCTAGAATTTAGCGACTGATTTGAGACCAGTGACTTTTTCACTGATTCATATTTAGAGAGGACGTTTTGTGTTACTGATAGTGAACACTAGGAGCGCTAGCTTCATGTCACATAACTATAGTTATTATCGTAAAAAAATTTCTAATTCAACCTTAGAGAGTAGGTTATAAAAAATAAAAAACATTGAGTCACGGAACATCAATTTGATAATTTTTAACATTTTCAAGCCAACGCAAGAACCTGACTAACAAATTTCCTCTCCGATTGAAAAAAAAAAAAAAAAAATGAAAATAATGCAATTTCCTAAAAGATGATATATATCTATATATATTTATATAAAACTGAAATAAAAATCTCATCTCCAGGATGAATCCTCTATCTAAGTTCTTGCGTTGAAGTGCAGAATCGTGCCTGCCGCTGAAAAAAAAGGACTGCTTGGAGACGTTAAACTTTTTTGTGTCCCCGATTACCGTTGGAAAAAAAAAAAAAAAATATAGAAAATTTTTAAAACTTCAACCGTTCGCAGGTAAGATTAACGGTACTTCCATCGGTCAATGGTACAAACACAACAACATCGCACGGTGGACTCCTTGAAGTTGAACGTACCTTTAAAACCGTTGATCAAAGTCAAAAGGAATATGAAAATAATCGAAAGAGCAAGTTACAACAAACATTAATGAAACGACCAATTAGAAATACCATTTACAATGGAAATCCTTCCAATTCGGCCATATTAGCAGCCGTGGGCGCCGGTATGCTGCCAGCAACCATGGCCATGATGATTCCAATGATGTTAGGGAGAAAAAAACGCGATATACAAAATAGCCATTTGGAGCACACATTGACGAAGGCTTTTTATCTTGATCAAGGACTTCGACATCTTATGGACAAGCACAACGACCAAAGAACTAAGCTACTGAGGTTTTAGATTTTTTTTTTTTTTAGTTATTATTATTATTATTATTCTTTTTTTTATTTATTTATTGTCTTCATTAGGGGACGATTTTTTATTTCAAATTACATTCAGAGAAAATGTGATATTTCTCTTAAAGTTATATTTAAATATTTATTTCGAATAAATTTTATTCGCTTCAAATATGGATTTATCAAACAAAATTTATGAGCCAAAAGTTTTGAACGTTCAAATGAACAAAAAATTTTTTTTAATCTATAAATTATTAAAAATTATGATGGCAATGTAAAATAAAAGAGTAAATTAAACAATTATTAAATTAATAACTACTTTTTAGATATTTAAAACAATATTTTGTAATAAAATTCGTACTTTAAGAAGTTGCAAAACAAATTTCGTTCATTTGAACGTTCAAAACTTTTGGCTCATCAAAATTTTTATTTTTTAAAAAATTTTTTAACACAAAATAAAATTTTATTTGTGTCAAAAAAAATTTTTCTCTAAATTAAATAAATAGTTATTTAACTATGAGACAAATAAATTTTTAATAAACATAATAATAAAAACATAAAAAAAATTTTTGCACAAAATAAAATTTTATTTGTGCCAAAGAAATGTTTTATTTGAATTAAATAATTAGTAAGAAACAACCCCCACTTTTCTAAAGATTTTCTAAATATTTATTTGAAATGTTCGGAATATTTAATTGCAATGTTTATTGAAAGTTATGTAAAGATTTAAATGTCCTACTTGAATAAATGTTCAGAAAAGTTTCACACTAAACATTTATTTAATCGGGACATTTAAATCTTTACACAATCTTTTCACTAAACTTTGCAATTAAATATTCCGAACATTTCAAATAAATCTTCAGGAATTCTTTAGAAAAGTTTCGGTGCTATTGGAGGGAATTTTTTGCACAAAAAAAAATATTATTCATGTGAAAGAAAATTTTTATTTAAATTAAATAAATAGTTATTTACCTAGGAGATAAATAAATTTATTAAATTTATTAATAAATTTACTAAAAAAATAAATAAATTTTTTTTGCGCAAAATAAAATTTCATTTGTGCCAAAGAAATGTTTTATTTGAATTAAATAAATACATGGGAAGAAAATAAATATCAAATTTTATAAAAGTATTTTCAAATTTTGTAAAAGTATTTTTAAGTCGTGGAAAAAATATTGTAAAAAGTGAAAAAAAAAATATTTTTTAAATTTCCATATAAGAAATATTAATCTTTAAATATATTTTTTATATTTTTATACAAAATTTGCATAAATTATATTTGATTCAAAATAAGGATTTGTGAAACAAAATTTTTATTTAAGTATATTACATTTTTTTTGTGCAAAATAAAATTTTATTTGAGTCAAAGAAAATTTTTTTTTTAAATTAAATAAATAGCTATTTATCTCTGAGACAAATAATAATGATTTTTATATAAAAACCAAATAAATAATATTTTGTTGGAATAAAAAATTTCTCTGAATGTAATTTAAATCTTTGGTGAAGTTCACAACGTTTATGATCAAAGATTGAAGAAAAAATAATAATATATTTTTCATTTGGAAAATAATAAAATTGTTGTTTTGTTCACAAATTGTTAATTTGTTATAAAATTGGATCGAGAAACGTTATAAAAAAAACTTTTTAGTCAAAATATTACAATAATTTACATAGAAAAAATATTTTTTCTTCTAAACCGTTTGATCATAAATGTTATGAATTTCACCGACAAAATTTTTAATGAAAAAGTAGCTTTTAAAAGTGAAAATAATATTTTTGAAAAATCTATTTATATCTTTTAGAATTAAATAATCACGTTTTACATTTACACAATTTATTTTTATTTATTTGATTTAAATAAATTATGTTATTGTTACTTAACTATTATTAAATAAATAATAATAAATAAATAATAAATATTTATTTGATAATAGTCCAGTAACCGATTATTATTATTATTATTATTTTAAATCAATTAAATTTTTTTTATTAGATTCTTTAATTAATTTCAAAAAATTTTTATTAAAATTTTTAAAAACTAAAGAATTTTCTCCTTTATAATATGAACGTTTGGTAAAATGTAATCCAAACGAAAAATTGTAAAGAAATATTTTTCAATAGTTTTCTATATAGGTTAAAAATGCAATAGTTTAAACAGAAAGAAACTGAAAAAAATTAATATAAAAAGATTGATTTATTTAATCTTTTTTTTTATCTAAATTGACTGAAAAATTTTAAAAGAATATAATTTAAAAAATTTTTAATCAATTTCATTCAGTGTGTAATAAAATTTATAGAGTGAGAAAAAATTTTCTTGAACTGCAAAATAATTGTTTTTTTTTTAACTTTTTTTTTTAATTCTTCAGAGTTTAACCAAAATATGATTAACGAATAAAAGTTCTTTTTTTTTTGTTAAGTGTTATTAAGTTATTTATTCTAATGATTAATTAAAATTATTTAATTAAAAAAATTATTGGAATAAAATAAATAATTTGTTATTTAAAAAAAAATTCATTACAAAAAATAGAAAATTTCGTGATTACATAATTTATTCCAGAAATTAATTAATTATAAAAAATAATTTGTTGATTAAACTTTATTTAAATTGTTGAATATATTTTTATCAATGAAATTTTTTTCTGGATGAATTATTTATTTCTATAAAATAATGTATTTCTTTTTATATAATTTCTTTTTACAGAAATTTAGAAAATAGAAAATTTTGATTTAAGAATTTTCTGATTATTATTACATTAATACTGATTTGCAAATCAGTAAAAGATATTTATTATTTCAGATAAATTATTTGAATAACATACATATGATTAGAATGTTAAGCGTAAATAGTAATTTATTAATTTCATAGTATTAACTAGTTTAAGTTATCTTAATGGGTGATATTTTTTTATGAATACCTAATAAAACACATGTAATAAATATTTATTATCAAATATTTGTTTCTTTTTAATTATTAACGAATTAATAATATTAATTAAAATTTTTTTTTTAATAATCATATTAATTATATATAATAATACCTAATTAATTGCTTTTTTAATTTTACATAATTAACATCAATTAAAGTATAATGATATGTTAATTAGAAAATTAATAAGAAATTTAATTCAAATTCGATTCTTCATAAAAAAAATGGTAAAATTTTTAAAAGTTATATCAAATTATAGGAAACAAATATATAAAATAAATAATTTCATTTTCATTTCATTTCTAACAAAACTTATTGTTTATTAATTTTTACCGACAGGCTTATTTGTTATTAATTTTATTACTTAAAAATATTAAATATTCTTAAGTAGTCCATTTCTTTTAATATTATTGTATAAATAAAATGATTTGTATTATACAAATTAATTGCGAATATGAAAAAAAATAACAATTCACTCCTCATAGATACAAAAAATGTTATTTTATTGTTATCATTTATTTACACATTAGTTATCGTTAAAACTTATTTCTATACATATATAATTATTTATTTATTTATATACTACATGTTCTGTATACTTTACAAATAAATCCTTCATTTCTTCGATCTCTTCGATTGACAAGGAAATTTTTTCATTTCTTCATTTTTAATCAATCTCTACTATTTTTCTACTAATTAAAAAAAATTATTTAAATTTTTTTTTTTTTAGAGAGCTGATATAAAATGTTATATTCTATAATGCGAATACTGATATTATTATTTCATTAAATACAAATTTTTCTATTCTTTTCCTGCAAACTTATATAAAGTTAATTATATATTATAATATATAAAACTTTTTGTGTTTAATTGTAAGAACGCAAAAAGCGAAAAATATATATATCAAACTTGATGAAAATATAGAAACAATCACAGAAAATTAATAATAAGTACATAAAATTAAATTTTTTTTAAATTTTCTAAAAAATTTTTCCAAAAGAAAACGATTTCTAAGACAATTTTTCTTCTGATCTTTTAGAAATTTAATGGTTTAAAATTAGAAAGCAATTTTTCTCAATCTTGAATATTGTCAATGCTTTTTTTTTTAATTTTTATTAATTTAACGACAACAATTTCTTAAATTTGAAATTATAATTAAATATTTTAATTACCTATTTCATTTACTAAATATCTCGTATTTATTCAATATAATTAAATATTTTATAAATGAAATGATAAATGAGTCAATATTTATATATTTATTTAAATGAAAAACTCATATTTTTATCAAAAAACGAATCATTTGATCATTAAATGTATAATAGTGTATTTAATAAACAATTAATTCGATTTTGCAATCAATAATTAAATAAATTATTAATTTACTAATTAACTAATTTTTTAATTACACGATTGAATTGATTCAATTTTCTGATGTATAATTGTAGTCGTTAAATTATTTATTCTTGATTATTAAAGTCTGTAACATTTATAAGAATTATTTTAACTAAAACTACACCTGTAACAACATCGGAGATACGATATTCTAAAAATAATTTTATTTTAAAACCTAACACTGTATAATATTCTTAAATTTTTTTTTTTAATTCAAATAATTTGAAAAAAAAAATATTTATGAACCTAAAAATTGTTTTCATTATGGGGAATATTTTATTCTAATAAAAGAATAAAACTTATTCTTAAATTTAGAATATCATTTTTCCGATGCGAAAAAATGTACAATGAAGTTGAAAAAACTGAAAAATTAGTCTCAGCAGACACTTATAAAAATTTATAATAGAAAATTCGTAATATCTCTATCATTCGTTTTCGAACATTCTTTCACGATCATATAGGAAAAAATCGATTAATGATTTAAAAAATATAACCTAGAAATCAGTTCAATTTTTTCCGTTTCGCGTTGAAACGAATTTGCATCCTTCTCGCACATCTCTGTTTTCATTAATTATTAAATTCATTTTCAATTAATTACAACACTTTTTAAATCATTAAATAATAAAAAGTATATCCCTTTCAAAGCCAACAAAAATAATAAAAGAAACATTTGTTTGATATAAACAAAAATAGGTGATCAACAAGGTTGGGTAGTCAAGATTACTTTAAGAAGGATCCCTTAAGGTGCTTCTATTTAGTTTAATTAAAATATTTAAATTAATTCATTGATTACTAATTAATAAAATTGAAATATAACTAGTAATTCATAAATTAATTTAATTTTCGTATAAATACATCTTTATGTTTAAAAAATAATTCACTTCGATTGATTTCTATTGTCCTCATTCGCCATTTGTCATAATTCTCGTCAACTACCGCATCTTGTTCTAGTGAAAATTTAGTAACTTTATTGTTAAAATTAAAAGTTACTATAAAGTTACTAAATTTTCACTAGAGCAGGGTGCGGTAGTTGACGAGAATTATGACAAATGGCGAATAAACTTCACAATTCTGTCAGTGCTAAACAGAGGGCAGCAGCTGAATTATTATTCTTGTAAACATAAAGGTGCTTTTATATCTCCAGTATTTTGGTAAAGCAATTGGGATCAGCTAAACTGCAATACGCCATCTGGTGGGGACCCATTCTCTCCCTCCATTTTCTTTCTTTGTCTCTCTTCAATTAATAGGTTAGAAAGAATAGAAAAAACAAAATGGAGGGAGAGAATGGGTCAAAGTTACTAGATTGTTACTAGACCACCGTTCCCAATCGGCTGGATTGAATTTTCACGGTTGTATCACTGAATTTGATTGGCCCTGACTAATATTCCATTTCCACCGTGAAAATTGAATATTTTTAGAGCCAATCAAATTCAGTGATTCTCCATGAAAATTCAATCCAGCCGATTGCTTTACCAAAATATTGGAGGTATAAAAGCACCTTAAGAGATACTAAGATTACATATTACTCATGATAATTTTGACTACCCTTGACTTTTCATTTGTATCAAACATATATTTCTTCATCATAGTTTTAACAGTTCGTTCGACGAGAAGTCAATAGGAGGAAAAGAAGTAAAAGTTTTTTATTTAATTATTTAAAAAGTATTGTAATTAATTGAAAATGAATTCAACAGTTAATCAAGATAGAGATGAGGCAAAAATTATTTTTCATCACACAATAGCACAATACGTAAGTTTAAAAAAATTGTTTAGGTTATGTTTTTAAATCACCGAAATATTTCATTTCGGGCTTATGGTTTCTAAAATTATAAATATTTTTTTCTTTTTATTAAGGTAGACATTGTTTTTGAAATGTAGTTAATAATAAATTATCAAGATTTATTTCTTTTATTTAATGAAGATGTGACATTTCAAGAGTTTTTTCAATCACTTTTCGCAGTAACCTCGCCAATTTAACTTGATATATAAAATTTTCTTTTTAATAATAATATAGGTCAGAAAGAAATCATTCTTTTGACAAAAAAAAATTTTTTTTATTTAAAAGATACAACAATGAACATTGAAAATTCCACTTTTGAACGACAAAACAAAATGCTTTCATATCCAAAAAGAAAATTTTAGTGTTTTTGGAGTTAGCTTGCTCAAAATTTTAGAAATTATTTTTTGTTTTATTTTAATCAGCTGTTATAGATGCACGCTATACGTTTTTTATTTCCAGTCAGTGATACCAACATAATTCTGAAAAGTGAGGTTATGTTTACCATATTTAGTTCACGTATTATGAACTATATTTGTTGTATTTCTATATTAATATATTTTACAATTTCTCTAATTTTAGTACTTTGGTACAAAAGGGCAAATTTTTCTTCTCTGTAATCCTGTTTACATGTAAATAAATAAATAAATAAATTATATGTTGGTATCATTGACTGGAAAATAATAAACGTCGCGCGCAGCTATAATAGCAGATTAAAATAGAACAAAATAACAAAAAACAATTTCTAAAATTAGCAAATTGATACCAAGCACCTGAATTTTTTTTTGAATACGTAAACTGGAAAAATAAGGAAAATTTTCAACTTTAAGGCCAGGTCCAAGTGAGGCAGCGCCATCTACATTGATACTAAAACTTTGGAAAATTTTCATCAGCCTTTTCTTGAAAACAAGATGGTAAAATGCTTTTTTCTTTATGGATAATTGATTATTGGCAAAATATACACCAGCTAAAACTTTTTTTCAGTTAAAATAATAAAAAAAATTTCATGTCAATAAATTAAATATGAGCACTTTTTTCACAAAAACTGTAACAGTACTTTCTCAGAAATTACAATCAAAAATGCAATTTCCATTTGGAAAATTCATAAACGCTAAAAAATACACGACCTAAGATTTACCAATCACGAAAATAAGAAAAAAAAGTATTTTAACATAATATATTTTACTCATTATGACAGCCGTTTGGCAGGTTATATATGTCACCAGACGTTTCGCAGTTTTGCCGAAAGGAGGAGATTGGCGCTGTTGCTAACCACCTGAAATACATAATCTACCAAAGGGCTATCACAATCAGTAAAGCAGTATCAATATGTTAAATATTTAATAAAATTTTTTTTTTGTTATTTTCGTGATTGGTAAATCTTAGGTCGTGTATTTTTTAGCGTTTATTAATTTTCCAAATGGAAATTGCATTTTTGATTGTAATTTCTGAGAAAGTACTGTTACAGTTTTTGTGAAAAAAGTGCTCATATTTAATTTATTGAAATGAAATATTTTTTATTATTTTAACTCAAAAAAAGTTTTAGCTGGTGTATATCTTGCCAATAATCAATTATCCATAAAGGAAAAAGCATTTTACCATCTTGTTTTCAAGAAAAGGCTGTTGAAAATTTTCCAAAATTTTAGTATCAATGTAGATGGCGCTGCCTCACTTAAACCTGGCCTTAAGTTCAGTCGGTCGAAAGTGGTTTTTGTTCAATATTTTTTGTTGTATCTTTTAAATAAACAATGAATGGTTCTTTAGACCTATAAATCAATAAATTTTTTAATATAATAATTAATAATACAAAAAAATTTATTTAAATTGGTGAGGTTGCTCCAAAAAATGATTTTAAAAAACTCCTGGAATGGCACAGTTATTGGCACTGAATTCAATAAACAAATTTACACGTATATCTAATTAAAGTTCTTCTGTATTTTATATTAATTTATTTTCTACCGTAATCAAGACTTCTATTAAAAATTTCCTATTATAAATTCTTATAAGGGCAACATGTATTTTATACGCATTGACAATAATCTAAAAAAATAATTTATATGACAATTATTCTTCGCCATTAAATTTTTTTTGCACATGCCCTAAATATCTCGCAAATCCTTCACTGGCATGTTTCAATAGTGTCAAACCCAATTTAATTTTAATTTCCGCAATTTTCTTTACAATGGAAAAAATACTAAATCCCTCATTCTCCGGGGTTTTTGATTTCTCGGTGGTAATTACCTCATCATTATTAAACCAATCTTCCGTGGTTGTATCTTCATTTTTAAAATGAGTGGAATTTTTAGTTTTTGAATTAAAAGTTGTCGCTTCACTTTTACTTGTTTCAATTTTACCCGTTGATGTCGTTAAATATTTCACAGTTGGCAAAGAAGTCATTTTTGTTGTACTTTCAGAATGTATAATTTCATTTTGTATAAAATTTTTCTCATCCTCGAGTTTCTTTTTAATATCATCGTCTTTCATTTTCTCCTTCATTTTTTCTTTGGCGACTTCTTTTTTTAAATCATCCTCATTAACCGGTATTGCAGAATCAATGATATCAAAAATTTCATTACTCAACGGCACCTCCTCTTCTTGATGTTCTTTTTCAATTTCACTTTTTGATGGAATTAATTGTATAACAGAATCTCTTTTGTTTTTTAAAAAATTCGATCTTCTTACCCTCAATAATCTTGGTCCATGTTCAACAGCAACGGCTGTGGGTGTAATTTCAATTTCTTCATAAACATCATCATTTTTACGATGTGGCTCAACCTGCGTGTAAGCTTGTGGTATATTGACGGAATTTTTTGGAAAATTAAAATTTTGTGCCATTTCACGTTCAAATTTACTGGGACCTTCATTCTCATAATCGGCTCTCTTACTTGCTATCGATAAAGAAGATTCCTTTTCCTCTGAACTATATTCTTTCGGTATATTACCCACAACAAATTGTCGATTTTTATTACCTTCCTTACCAATGGTAAAATCAGATTGTTTCTGTCGTTCATAATAATTTGGTGTTGTTGGTAAATCAGGATATTTAAATTCCGTATTTCTATAATTCACATCATAGGAATTTTCCACCACTGGTCGATAAATTGGTCCCGATGATGTTGTTTGTTTTTGTTCTGTTTTTCTAGTTGTTGTATCATAATGATGATATTTGTAGTAATTATTCTCATAATCTTTATTATTATTATTATTATTATTATTATTGTTATTGGTAGTTTGATATTTATTGTCATGCTTCGTCATTCCTTGCAGTACTTTTGAAAAAACTTCCTCCTCATTTTGTCCATAATTACCACCATATTCGTCAAGATTGTATTTGTAATTTGGTTCCAATTCATAATTTCGACGTGCAATTGAACCACCGAAGGGATAAAGGAAATAGGACGCAAGTCCCAGACCTAAACCAACAAGTGACATTACACCAAAGCTTGGCATTACTTCTCGACTCAAAAAATTGTAAATCTGTGTACTAATTGGCTTTTGTACTTGTTTCTTTTTTGTTTTTGTACTGTTGGTTACTTTAGTCTCGGGCTCAATTTTCGATTCTTGAATTGCATTCTCGGCACTTGATGATTCAGCAATATTTAATACTTCAGCAATTGTGGAGAGGGCCGATAATGCTGTATCTGTACTTTCGGTTGTTATTGTGGGTTTACGTCTTCTATTTTTGTTCTTCTTTCGCTTGGACGATTGTCTTCGTTTTGATGTTGGTTTGACTGTCGTTGTTGTTGTTGTTGTTGAGGATGGTTTTTGTGTATCGATATTTATCTTCGTTAATTCGGAATTAAAATCAATTTTGGAATTATTCAAAATTTCCTGATGTTCATTTTTGGAATGTTCTATCTTTTTGTGATCAATTTTTGAATTCTTTTTGGAACTATCGACTTTTTCGATTTTCAAAACTGGTGCATTTACTTTGATGGGTTCAATCTCAATTTTTGTCATGTCGTCCATTGGTTTTTTTAATTTCACCTGTAGAACATTATTGACTTTATTACCGGATGGTTTGAATTTAATTGGTTCCTCTTTAATTGCACTGGATTTTGTTGTCAATTTTGTCGTTGGTTTTGGTGTTGATAATTCTGGTGGTGGTGTTTTTTTCGTTTCGGTGTATACCGAGGCTTTTATTTTGGTGATAAACATTGGTACTTCTGTTATATCCGAATGACTTGCAATCATTTGAACGGGTTTGAATGTTACTTTTTCAATTTTTGGTGTTGGAGAATTGTGTGTCTCGGGTTTAATTGTTGTTGTCTTTCTCTGAGGAGTAGGTTTTGGTTTATTTTGAGGTTTAGGAGCCTTGGTGGTTGTATTTTTAGCTTGGGTTAAATTTTTATTGTTCTGATTTGCTGTTTTGGGTTTAGCTGTTGTTCGAATTGTGGATGGGATTTTTTTTGTTATTACCGATTTTGGAGTTGTTGCTGCTGTTATTATTTCAGAATTGTCTGGAGAAATTGAATTTGTTTCTTTTACTTCGCTAATTGATTTTGTTGTTGTAGTTTTAGGTGTTGTTGATTGTTTCTCGATTTTTTTAATTTGAGTCGTTTTTTCTGAATTTGCAGTTAATTTTTCCGACTGTTGAGTTACTTTTTCCGTTTTAATCATCAATTTCTCTAGTTTGAGTGTTGATGGAGTTGTTGATTTTCTAATGAGATTGGGCGTTGATTTTTTGGGAACTTGTGTATATATTTTTTCGAATGAAATTGGTGTTTGGGTAGTGGTAACTTTCTCAACAGATGCTGTTGCTTTTTTTTGATCAGTGGATTCAACTTTTTGAATTGTTGACGTTGTTTTAACGATAAATTGACCTTCATTAGATGGAGGATATTTGGTTTTTTCTTCGTCATCAAGTGGAAGATCTGTTGTTGCTGAAGGTGGATTTAAAAGAATCCATGTTGAAATTCCACCTGTTGTTGTTGGTTGAACTTTATGAATTGGATGTCTCATGGAATTTAATTCTTTTTCTAATTCCTCTTCTGTCAATGCCATTGCTTCACCGGGATGACTGCTTTCGAGAAATCCAAATTTTGAATTAATTGGTCTTTCTTGGGAAATATGTTTAGTGGAATTTTTTTCAAAATTTAGAGAATCAATTGTTTTCACCACTACGGATGAATCTTGTATTTCTTCGGCATCTTTCTCTGATGATTCGACGAAAATAAGTTTTGTCAAAATATCATTGGATGGTTGTTGTTTTTTGTCATCTTGTAAAATTTCCTTTGGATTTGTGACATTTAATAATTGTGTGGCCACTGTCCTCAATGATTGGTCCATATGTTGAAGATCTTTCAGCTGACGCTGAGAGTCAGATGTCCGTGGCCTAAAAATAAAAAAAAATTTGTAAAAGAATGTTTATATTAAAAACAAAATTAATATATTGTAATTAATCCACTTTAAAATAGGTTTACAATTTTTAGCCATTTAATTTTGTTAGTAAATTTAACCAGTAGTTTTTATTGAAAATTTTTTTAAATAAATTGATATTCAACTTTCAGAACATTAATTTTAGTATACATATACAGTGGACTATTTGTTACAGTTTACAATTTGATAATAATTTATATTAAGAATAAAAGTATTCAAAGCTTTAATTTCTCTAAAATTTTTGTTTCTCTTTATATTAATTAAAGTAAAAAATTCTTATTTGGTATTCTATAAAATAAATTAAAAACACAAAAAAAATGTTGAACTAAATTAAAATTTTAAAATATATAATTTAATAGGTAAGAAAATGTTAACGAGTTGATTTTGTTTTCGATAATCCTGAAATAAATCATTTACAGTGAAAATGGTACAAAATATTTTTTCATATAAATTTTTATTAGTAAATTTTATACAGTAAAGACATACAATTTTTTGTTTTTTTTAATTTAAAAAGAACAGTTTTCTATCTAAACGTAAAGATATTGATAATTTCTATCTAAATAAATAATATAGATATAAATGTATAAATATTTTACTTAAATACATTATAATTGGAAAACCATAAGTGTTCATTTTTTATCATAAAATTATTATAAAACGATGGTGATAAAAAATTTCAATTACAATATTTTTATATATGCAAAATAGAATTCATTGCTGAATTTTTAAATATTATTGTATCTTATAATGGAAAATTGTAATCATTGACAAATTATTGCCTACTTCAATATATTATAGTAATTGGCTATTCACGTTTTCAACAGTATATGTAAGGCTTTAAGTTTTTATGTACGTACGTGAGCAAATCTCATAAAAAGAGAACAAGGAATAGAAATAATTGGGAAATTTTGCATACATATCTGCATGTAATTTAAAATTTCATTAAATATTTCAAACGTAGACATTTTTTTTTTATAAAAATAATTTCATAATAACGTAATACAAATATATATAATCTCTTAATTTCACACAAAAAATGCAAATATTTTCAATTTTCATTATATTTTTATAAAAATACATTCTTTCATATTATAAAATATACACAAAACGTAACTATAAATTAAAACCTGAAATATAAATAATTATAATAATTAAATTATTCCACTTTCTGGTATTTATTTTTTAAATTAAAATTATATCCACTTTAAAGAGTGTTTTTCCATATAGATAAATTATTATTTGTTGAAAATATATATATATATATATTTCATACACAACTGTGTAATGTTTTATTAAATAAATATTTAAAAAAAGTTCATGTTTTAATAATATTTCAATAATACATTATTTGTTTGTAAATTCTTTAATTGCACTTACAGTTAAAACCATCAACGCTCTAAGGTAACATTATAATCTTTTAATAATAGAAATTTAATAAATATAAAATTTATGAAAAATTAATAAAACTACTTTTTATAGTTATAAAGTCGTAATCATATTTTTTGATGAATAAAAATAATACAAATTGGTGTAAAAAAAATACTGATTTCTATTAACTATATACCAAACTATGTCAAACTTAAAATTTTTTCAAATACTTAAAGCGTATAAATAAATATATAAATAAAATAAACTTATCTAAGTAACAAAAAAGAATGGTTTATTTTGATAAATAAATAAAAATAATAAATATTAAAATCTACTATAGGATAAATGTACAAAAACCAATGGATTGACCACAAAAAAGTACATTTACCCTACATATAATGTATTTTGGCATGTTAATTGTCTTTTTATAAAAATAAACCCTACAGAATATTAAAATTCTACAATGTATATTAATAATTATAAATAAATAAATATTTAAATAAATAAATAAAAAATTTAACAATTATTTCATATTTAAAAATAAATCTGAACACAAGAAAAGCAATACAATTAAAATTGAAAATAAAATTAAAATTTTTGAAATTATACAAAGATTAAAATTAGATCTGAAGAAAAAGTATGAAAGGAATAATAAAAAAAAGAAATATTACACAAAAAATCAAAAGATTTGAAATCAATATTAAAAAATTCAATTCAATTTTGAAAATAAAATATTCTGGCAGTTTTTCTAATTCTTATAATTGTGATATTATTTTGAATTTTCGCGGGTGTCGTCTGCTAGAAAGTTGTAGATGGCGCTGAGTATTCTAGCGCAGCAGACGACAAAAGCGTTACATTTCGTTTTCTCTAGTTTTATAAAATTGTTATAAGTGGACATTAAAAGGCACATTTTTATTAAAATAAATTCAGATTTTATTATCATTTGAGCGTTCTGCATTTTAGTTAATATTTTAAGGAATCTTTGCTCATCGACTGATCTTATTTATTTAATCCATTATCATCGAAGAAAGGTATAAAAATTTTTCTCTCGCAAAAAAATTACTTTAGTTTCCAATAATTAATCCAGTAGTTATTCCAGTAATTATCTCAATAATTATGCCAGTAATTATTTTTAATAAGGGTGCGACAATTCGTAATTGAGTAGAAATGTATAAATTTCTAATGGATTTATAAAAAGAAGAATAAAAGAAATGAAAAAAATTGTAAAGGATTTAAAAGAGATGAAAAAAAAAATTTAATGAACACAAGATTTTAAAGACACCAATCAACTTTAAAAGAAGTTATTCATAATCAACAAAATTTTCTCCTTAATTCGAAAATAGAGAAAATTTTATAAAGCTAAAAAAATCTCTTATATCTTATAAATCAATAATTATCCCTCATTATTATATAATGTACCACATTTGACAAACCATTCTTTTGTTTAAACCTCATCTCTTTCTCCTCTTCCTCCTTTTACTTTTCCATTCGTTCCAATTTCTATACTTGCGAATGGCTTGTTTAACTATTTCCTCGAGGCCTGGTGTAAATCTAACATCAACTCGATCAGACGATCTGCCAAGGTCTAGAGCACCGGGAAATGCCCAGGGGAATAAAAACGCCGCCACACCTAGAACACCCGCAGCGAATGCAGCAAATGGCGCAATACTCACATTCATTAGACCATAATTCAATGGATTCAAATAACTGAATGATGAAAATAATGATGTCATCGAATCCATCATACCATAGGGTGATATATCAAAATCATCATAATCAAAATAATCATCATCATCATCGTCCTCATCGTAATCAGCAGCGGCAGAAATGGCAGCTGCTCCTCCACCACCAGGCGGTGCATTAGGCGCCGAACCTAAAGCATCAGCATTTGATAACTGACTAGCAGCTCCGGCCATATTTGTCAATGCCGATAAATTTGGAATACTTGGTCGTGGACCAGTGAAACTCGCTCCCGATGATCCATCATTAGCTTGACCAGGTCCAGTTTCAATGCCTGATGATGTTAAACCCATTTCAGTAACACCTGACGAATTACTGAAAAAACTTGTTGAATTCTCGTCAGAATATAATGTTGAATTATCATTTACTGTTGTTGTTGCAATTGATGTTGCTGCATCGTTAACAGCCTCTGATACTGATTCTTCAACTTCGGGAATATCTTCAATTGGACCCTCGTCCTTGGGTGGTCCGTCAGCATCCTCGAAATTTGTATCAGACATATTGGAAACTGTATCAGATGCTGTCTCAGAAAATATATCAGAAGCTGTATTAGAAAATAAATCGGAAATTGTATCAGAAGAAACATTTGCGGTTGTATCGAAAGATGGTGGTGAACCGATATTAATTTTTGTTCCCGAAATTATTTCAACAGAATTTTCCGGATTTGTTGTCACCTGTGGCGCTTGAATTTTCAACTGTTGATGAGAATCAATCTGAGATGAGGAATAATAATTTTGTGTGTATGAATCAAAATTTGTCGTTGGTTCACTTTGATAGAATGGATCATTTGTGGGAGCAGTTTGAAATGATGAATCGCTGGTATAAAGAAGAGGATCAGGTTGTATTGATCCAATTGAGCTAGATGAAGGACTGGTAAATACATTTGTATTCAAAATATGAGAATTAATGACAATATTTAAATCAGTACATCCTTCTTTACTTTCGATTTTATTGTTCACTTTGGTAATGGAATTTATTAGAATTGTCGGACAATCGTCCCTTACGATAGACGAAGATTGGGAATTATTTGTGGGATTTTCGTCACTCATGAACATTATATGAACATTTGGCGGTGAACCAGAAGTGTTATTAGTTTCGGAAATTTTATTCGGTGGTTTCTTCGAACCTGTAATAGTGACATTTGGTTTCTTTGAACCGGGATTCATAATATGAACGACAGTGTCCTGAACAACTTGAGTAGTTGGTTTATAAACAGGTTGTCGTGTTAATGAAGGATCTTGAAGACTGTTAATCATTGAATCGAGTTGAGGCGATGAAAAATAATACTGCGGCTTTTGAAATTCATCAATTTTATCTTCAGTGGATGATTCATCGATTGGTCTAAGTGGTGTGTTGGGTTCGAGATCCTCGTAGATTGGCTCGAAAGTATTACTTATTGGCTTTCCTGATTGTTCATCAATCATGTGGCTTTTGTTAGTTGAAAAAGCGGGAATTCTCAGCCATTGAATCATTTCCTCCATTGATGAATGAATGGGAATTTGTTGATGATGTTTTGTCTTTATTTCCTGTGAGGGGAAATATTTTTCAGAATTGTAAAGATCTTGCATATTTGACGCAACATCGGTAGACCAGGTTTTTGAAGGAAGATTTGCAGCCACTTTGGAATTTGGTCTTGGAGTTATGACATTGTGTGAATTTTGCATAAAATGTTCTTTTGTCACAAGATTTGGGGGTCTAACATGTTGAAATTTATTATTTGGTGAATTCTCAGTTTTTATTTGGGAATTTATATTCGCTTTCACGACATTTACCTTGTCTTTGAGAGTTTTTGTGGAATTTTTGAAATTTTTATTTGTTGTTTTAATTTTATCCTTGGTATTACTACGATTTGGGATGTGATTATAAGGTATGATCTTCACGTAATTCCGATTTCTAGAAGAAATTTTTCTCCCCTCGAATACTAAGTTTCTATCAGGTTCGATAATCTTTCGTTGACCTTGATTTCTTGGTTGTATTGAAAAGTTGTCCTGTGAAACGTGACTGGAAATTGGAATTGGAATAACCTTGCTACTCACCTCGTGTATTATATTTTTTCCAAAATGACTAATTTCCCTGGAATTGTGAATTTGCAATTTTTCACTTTTATCATCATTTCGCCGTTGTGGATAAGTTTTACCTATCCATTCATTTTCTAATTGATAATTATTGTAGAAATTTTCATTGAATGTACGACCCATACCAGATGTGGAATAATTTAATTTTATAGTTGGACTTAAATTTAAACTTGGTATATTATTATAGTTATAATTATGATAAATTAATCTATTATTTCTTCCATTCCCTATGTACCTGCTATTGCTTAGAAAAGTTTGAGAAACATCCTCATTTCCTATTGGAATTGGTTTCCAACCATTTCCATTTAAATCCGCTCTTCCTTCATATGGAGCTGCAACAAACAATAAACAAACATTGAATATATTTTTTTATCGGTCTGTAAAAATAAATAATATTAAATAATTCAATATATTATTAAAAATATTAACTTTTTTAAAAATGGCATATGCTGGTATTACTGCAAGTTTGCATGAATTACTGCGAATGGTGTGCACCAATTACTGCAACGCTAAAAATGTTGATTTAGAGGTTTAGGTTGACTGGATAGACCACAGTAATAGCAGCATGAGAAAAATATACGCATGCTCTAATTACTGTGATAGGTTCAATTGTAACTTGAATAAATAATTTGATATAATAGTCGAAATTGGCATCATTAGTGGATATAATATCAAATATCATTTGGAATAAGTTTTAAAGTCATTTTGAAACAGTTTTATGTTCTTAATTACTAAGTTTTACTAATTTTATAAAAATCGCAGTAATTGGCGCATCAGCAGTAATTCATACACTTACCCTACATTGAATTAAAATTTTGTGAAGAACTCAAAAATAGTATATAAATGATTCGTTGTCATGTGCCAGAATTTATTAAAAAATTTTCAAAAAGTTTATTTTTAAAAAATTGCATATTTAAGGAAAATTCAATATGTCGGCACTACAATTTTGGTAAATTCCTCAATTATGCAATTTTTTACAAATAAATTTTTTGACAAAAATTTTAATAAAATCTGGCACATGAAAACAAATCTATATACTATTTTTTTAAGTTCTCCACAAAATTTAAATTCAATCCTATTAAATATATTTCGCGAGAAAACATGCGAAGAATATTTACATGAAAAATCACAACAATCACATAACCTTAAAAATAGTTAGTATTTTCGAAAATTACAAAAAGTTCTTAACATTTTAACCTCATAAACCATTCCTCTTTAATTTTTAAAAAATAAAGAAAAATTTACTTTTTACATTTTTATTTACGATTAAATTTATTGTCAAGTCATAAAAAAATGAGGTGCTCTGATATTATAATAATACTCGACTGTATATAGTGTGTGTATTATAAAATAAAGTCCTACTTTACTTTTTCAGGTAAAATAATTATTAATAAATTCCAATCATTAACTTTTCTCCTAGATTGAAGAGTCTATTAATTTTTCAATTAATAATTATAATAATTTATAACACGAATAAAAATAATAAAAAAAAAAAGAAATTAAAAAAAAAAAAAAAATCCACAATTCAAATAAAAAAAATTGTTTCATTTCCTTTATTAATGTTGTACAAATTAAAAATAAAACTATATAAATATAATTTAAAAAAAGAATCTTCATTTTATTCAATTATTACTAAATTGCATCTTAATTGTTACTTAATTATTGTTTTCAATTTGTTTTCAGTGGAAAGAGTATGTTTTTGAAATTGAATGTACAGACTGAATGATCCTTTAATAAAAATCTCATTGGGTGATAAATTGAGATTGCGTTTATATTATAAAGACTCGTTAACTGTGGTAAGATTGTTAATGTTCTAAGTCACGCATGTTTGTGAAGTAATAGAATTAAATATAAAATAATTATTTATTTTTCCAGACAAAATGATTCACTACTTGTATTACACGTTAATCTGCGATGTTGAACATCATTCAAAAGTTACTTTCGCTGAAAGCAAAACCATAAACTGATATTATATACAAGTACACGAGAGTTAAACTTTTTAAAAACGGTATTTAACGTTTTATTTATTATATATTATAATATAATTTTGGAACGCATGAATAAACTCTAAACCAAAATGTTTAGAATTATGATTTGATAGAATTTTACACTGAGAAAAATGTTTAGTCAGAGCAACCAAAATTTGGTTGGGCCAACAAAATAATTTTGTTGATATTTAAGCAACCAAACTATTTGTTTGAGTCAACCAAAAAATTTGGTTAAGTGTTTTTTGTTGGTATAACAAAAATGTTTGATTACCTCCACTAAATTTTTTTTTGTTAGGTCAACAAAAATGTTTGGTTGATCAAAGAAACAGTTTTTTTTGTAAAATTAAAAATTTTATTCTACCTTATTTCTTTTCTTTTTATCTTTTTTATTTATTTCATTATTTATTTATTATCAATTTAACATTGAATTTATATGTATCCAATTGAAATATTTTTGGAATTTGAAAAATCTCATCTCCGCCTGGGATCGAACCTCTGTTTTAAAACTGAAGGTCGGGAGTTCTGACCACTGGACTACCCATCATTGTGAGAGATTTAAACTAACTGTTCTCTTAAGCTATGAGCTGAGAGCGAATAAAATTATTTGGTTGTCGCAACCATATTTTGGTTAGGACAACAAACGATCATTTGGTTTTTTAGACCAAACTATTTTGTTATGTTAACCAAATTATTTTGTTGTCGTAACCGAATTTTGGTTGGAATTTAAAAATACTCAACCAAATAATTTTGTTGACCTAACCAAATGTTTGGTTGAGATAACTCTACGACTTTGTTTCAGCCAACCAAAATTTGGTTACAAGAACCAAAATTGTCTAATCAAACAATTTTGTTGCAATCACTAAATTTTTTTTCTTAGTTTATTCTGTAGAATATTAATTTTGCAGACTATTTATTCGAATATGAATGTTTTAGAAAATGCAAATGGTTGAAAATCAATTTAACAGAAATAATTCGTTGGAAACTTCAAATTTGACAAATAAAAAATTATCAAGAAAATTGTGATTGGTCAAATTCGAAGTTTCCGCCGAATTATTTCTGACAAATTGATATTCGATCGTTTTCACTTTTCTGGACATTAATATTCGTGCAAATGAATACCTATTTTGCAAAATTAATATTCATTCTAATCCTCTTTTAGCAAAATTAAAATTCTTTTAAATTACAATTCTGCAAAATTAATATTCTACAAGACAAAGTTTCGATCAAATTGAATTTCTGGCAAATTAATTTTCGTTTAAATAAAAATTCTGTCAAATTGATTTTCGACCATTTGCATTTTCTAAAACATTAATATTCGAACAAATAAATATTCAGCAAAATTAATATTCTACATAATGAGATCACTGTAAACTTGATGGTATCATTTTGGAATGCAACGTTTTGATTTGATATCAAATTGATTCAAATATTTGGATCATTTTCAAGAAATGATCCAGAATATGGGATCATTTTTTGATACCTGAATTTGTATCAAGGTATAACTGTCATGGCTGGCATGCCCTTATTGACAAGTTTATTAATTAATTTATTCACTGCACTGAATATTCAGATATTAAAAATACTTTTATTGTGAATTTTAAGAAAGAGAGAAGCGAAAACTTATAAATTGCGAGCAATTAAATAAGAAAAAATTTATTTCGAAATAAAATGAAATACACTAACCTTTATTCATGTTTATCACATAAGATTTAAGTTAAATTCACAATCACAACACTTGAAAATTTTTAATTATTTTTATCGTTCAAATAATTATCAATAATTTATTTATTATAAATGAACAAAATTTAAGCAATGCACGCTTGATATATATTTCTAATGCGTTGTCAATTAATGCAATTAATAATTTCCTATTACACAATATCATAATCGACATATATGACATTTGTAAACAAACAGGGTTGGGAAACAAGAGCCCAAAATATATTCGTCCAAAGCGAATTTCAATCCTACCCAACTCTGCTATGGACGAACATATTTTGGGCTCTTGTTTCCCAACCCTGTTTGTTTACAAATGTCATATATGTCGATTATGATATTGTGTAATAGGAAATTATTAATTGCATTAATTGACAACGCATTAGAAATATATATCAAGCGTGCATTGCTTAAATTTTGTTCATTTATAATAAATAAATTATTGATAATTATTTGAACGATAAAAATAATTAAAAATTTTCAAGTGTTGTGATTGTGAATTTAACTTAAATCTTATGTGATAAACATGAATAAAGGTTAGTGTATTTCATTTTATTTCGAAATAAATTTTTTCTTATTTAATTGCTCGCAATTTATAAGTTTTCGCTTCTCTCTTTCTTAAAATTCACAATAAAAGTATTTTTAATATCTGAATATTCAGTGCAGTGAATAAATTAATTAATAAACTTGTCAATAAGAGCATGCCAGCCATGACAGTTATACTTTGATACCAATTCAGGTATCAAAAAATGATCCCATATTCTGGATCATTTCTTGAAAATGATCCAAATAATTGGATTAATTTGATACCTTATATCGAATCAAAACGTTGCATGAGTTGATCTTAATTCTTGTATCAATTTGATACACACAAGAAAACTGTGATATACTATCAAATTATAATTTAAAAAAAAAAAATTTTAGAGCCTATATTCATGCGTCCCATAATTTTTCTGTCATGTACGCGGTTTCCTGTTTCTTCATTAGTGCGTACAATAAATAATATTTAAATGATTGATTTCACTTTTTATTATATATATCACAGAAAATTATAAGGTATTAAAATAAGTTGCAACGCTTATTAATTTAATCCAATTTTGCTTATTTTAATACCAAAATGGATTAGAATAAGCAAAATTGGATTAAAATAATAAGCGTTGCAGCTTATTTTAATGCCTTTTAATTTTCTGTGATATTATATATAATTTTTTGTTTAAATTTTGATTTAATTTATTTCATTTATTTACTTATATACATTTTATTTATTGTATTTCTAATCAATTCTGCTTAATTAGTAAAAAAAATTAAATTTAAATTAATTGAAATTCATTTATAAATAATTATAAACTGAAATATAGTAAAAATCAATTTCAATTAATTAAATTCATTCAATTAAGTTAATAAATTAATTAATTTCAATTTTGTAAGATCTATAGTTGTACACTTTTCAGAAAAAAATGATGTTGAGTTAAATTCTTGTGACCAATTACTTTTTTAACATTTTGATTTTTTTTCTTTTACCTTAGACAAAAATCGCAATTTTTATCCAATTTTTATAAACAATAGCTTATTTTACTCCTTGAAATATTCTGTACAACTGTGTAATTTTTTTTTTAATGTTGTTAAAAATATTTTTTCTTAAAAAATTATAAACAATTCGAATTGTTTTTTATTAAATATTTTTTTTTTATATAAACTAGATGAAAATTGTAATTTTTTCTGAAAACAATGAAAAAAAATCATAATATCAAAAAATCATTGTTTGATGAAAAATTTTAATTCAATATCAGTTTTTCTGAAATATATATAACTTCAGGATGTATCAGGGAAAAGTCAGGGAAAAGTCAGGGAATTTCAGAAAATTCCATTCAAAGTCAGGGAAATTTCTGTAAATTTCTACGAAAATTAAAATTTTTTGTGAATTTAAAAATTTTTTAATCTAAAAAAACTTGAATGGTTTTTATTACCATTTGTTACTACCATTAGAAATTAATTTATTGTTAAATATGTCAGTAACCATATTTTTGTCCAAAGAAAGCAGAAATAAGATTATTAAAATGTCAGGGAAAAATAAAAAAATGTCAGGGAGGAGTCAGGGAATTTTTTTCTCAATCCTTGTTAGACACCCTGAACTTGATTTTCTAAATATTTCTGTTTGCGTGAAGAACCATTTTTTTTAGTTTGAGATTATGTGACGATCAACAATTAATCAATTGATTATTTATAAGATAAAAATAGAATTTAATCGACTTTTTCAACAGGATTTTTAAAACCGATTATGTTGGAAGTACATAATATGTATTATTCGATTTTCAATTAAAATTGATTTCAATTTTATCATTGCTAAACAAATAACTATTTTGATCAAATATGACTAAAATAATATATTTTATTTTTGAATATTATGATTTTTATTTATAACATTATAACTTACCGGAATTTTGAGGCCTGGATTCACCTGATCCTGCAAGAAGCAGGCATGTAACGAGCTTTAACAGCTTTAACCGCATTTTCACCCTGAAACAAAAAAAAAATCTATTTAATTATTTTACTATTAACTATAAATTTTAATTATTTTTAATTATTAATTTATGCCTTAAATAATCATAAAATTATAAAAGAAAATCATATTTTAAAAGAAAAAACTAGTCTTATTTTTCATTTATTATTTTTCATTTATTTATTTTTTTATTGAAATATAATTTATTTTATTATTATTATTATTATTATAAATTTTATTATAAATACCTACTTATTTTTCGTTTATTTTTTTTTTTTATTTAAGTTGCTAAATTAAAAAAAGCGTGTCAAAAAATTGGCGATGAAAAAAAGGTCAAAATTGTAAAAATAATTGAATATTTAAGACGAAAGATTAATGAAATTTCAACTCATTTTTTTCATACTGTTGTTAAAATTAACAAATTTTTGAAAATCCATACGAGAAATTCTAAAAAAAAAATATTAAAAAAGCCTGTAAAAAAAATTGCCGATGAAAAATAGTAAAAATTCTTAAAGTGTAATTCAATTTTGAAAAATGTTAATTTTTTCAACTCTATAATTTCTTGAAAATAAATAGTGCCTCAACTTAAGATTTTTTTTATGTATCAATAATTATTTAAGTTGAAACATTATGATAAAAATTTTCCAATGATCTAAAGAAAGTCCAAAAATAATTAATAAATTAAAAAAAAAACTGTTTGAAATATTTTTTTATTTTTATGTTTATATTTGAAATAAATAAATAAAATTAAAATAATTTTCTAAATGAACCAACATTATGGAAAATAAAATCTGTTACCTAAAAGTGGAATTCAATATTTAAAGTACGCGATTATATAATTCTATAACATTAAAACGACAACAGAATAATTATATTTAAAAAAAAAACAAAGTTGTTGATAAAAATAAGAAAGAAGAACTATTTATTTTACAATTTTAGGTAACTGTTTTCTTTTTATATAAGATAAATAAAAAAAAATAAATTCATTTTACACAATTAATTTATATGATAGTATTGTAGTTTACGCAAATATACTATAAACATTAAAATGTTGAGAGAAAAAAACCATACGTGGAACATAAAAAACAAAATAAATTTAAGACTATAAAAAAAAATTATATAAGTTCTACACGATTTGAATGTTTTATGGTTCCTTTGTATATATAATAGTATACCAAAGTGGCAAGGTCCTGGCTTGATTTAATCATTTATATGCCGCTTGAATTTTAAATTGTTCGATTATTATTATCGATTATACCCCTTTAATATTCTAATTCAAAATTTGTCCGATGACTACCGCAAACAATTTCAGAATAACATTAACTGTTAATGAAAAACAGTTTTTTGCATTTTTAATTGATAAATTTATTTACATGCATAAAATAATGGAATATTTTTTAATTTAATTAATCGTGTAATAATAATAATAATAATAATAATAACAATAAAAAATAAAATTATTAAAGAATTAAAGATATAAAAATAAAAATACAAATATGTTTTGTTCTTGTAAAAATATATTTTTTTCACACTTTTTGAATAATTCTTTACAATCTCTTGTATAGGTTTTCAAAAATTTTCATTTTTAACCCTTGCGGCACAGTGGTAACCCAGATTACCACCTATTTTATTTACAACTTTTCTTACTGTATTTTAAGTTTTTTAAGCAATATTCATTAATTTTCTTTAAAGTGAATGAGAACATATAATTGAATGAACGGAAAATAAAAGTAACAATATTTACGCAAAATTATAAACAATTATATAAATAAATAATTGTCAAAAAACTCATTATTTTGGAAAAAAAATATTCATTACCGAAAATTTAGGTAAAAAGGGAACCGATATTTTGTACTCGGAGGTTTTTGGGGAATGCTGATTACGAATCTGAATTCTGTTTTTAAAAATTCAAAATGCCGGATCCAATATGGCAGCCGACTTTTTCAAAACTTAATGCAATTCGCTTGAAACTCGTTACTTGGGGGTGTTTGGTGTCGCTGATTACGATTCTGAAGTCAGTTTTTAAAAATTCAAAATGGCGGATCCAATATGGCAGCCGACTTTTTCAAAACTTAATGCAATTCGCTTGAAAATTGTTACTCGGGGATTTTTGGGGTCGACTTTTTGAAAATCTAATGCAATTCGTTTGAAACTTGTTACTCGGGGGTTTTTGGGGTCTTTGATTACGAATCTGAAGTCAGTTTTTGAAAATTCAAAATAGTCGTCCGCCATATTGGATTCGCCATTTTTAATTTTTAAAAACTGACTTCAGATTCGTAATCAACGACCCCAAAAACCCTGATAGGTGTGATCATCTGTATTTTTGAATGGAATGAAAAATGTGTGCCGCAAAGGATTAAAAACAGGGACAACTGAAATTTTAACCTATTGAAAGTTCCGCCTCCATTAGGCAATCATTTTTTCCCTAAAATTATTTAGCATCTAAAAATGTTTTACGTTATCAAAATTGAAAAAAAATATTTTTGAGCATTTTAAAAATTTTATTTTTTGAAAAATTTTTTAAATCCCTATGATTAATTGTTCAAAATCATATGTGTGACGCGCTCTGAAAAAAGGGACCTTAGAAGCAAACGATTTATAGATTATGTTTACGATAATTTTACCTTGATTATAAAAGTTTCTTTTTAATATATATTTAAAATAAAAATCAGTTTTTATTGAATGTTTTGAATGTAATAAAGACTTAAATATCAATAATTTGTATTGAAAATTGATTTTCTGTGTGTATTTTCACTTCGAAATTTTAAAACATAACCTATAATTTTTTGCTTAATTTTAAAAGTGTAGAAAAAAAATTGTCGATGAATAATATTAAAAATTATGGTAAAAGTTCAATTTTAAAATTACCATGTAAAATTTCAATTTAATCAAAATTTACATTAATGTAAAGTTGTCATCTTTTTTTCTACCTTATTTTTTTTTTTTTGAACCAAAAATCATATTCTATTATCGAAAATTGAAGAAAAATAATTTTTAACTTATTATTTTTATTATTTAAAAAAAGATATTGTTTAAAAAAAAAATTTTGTTTCTTTATAATTTAAAAAAAAAATAACACGTGAGAATCTTATATATGTCTATTACGTTATTCTTATTCAATTAGTATATAACGATAATAAAAAAATCATATAACAAGGTTTTACGTAATATAATTTCCGTCTGTCGATGAAAAAAAAAAAAAAAGAAAAAATCAAAATCATTAGGTCAATGTCTTAGAAGGATTGAAACGCGTGTGTTTTAAATATATATTTATATATAGTTTGTCTAATGACTCAGCCTTCAAACGCTCGATGTTTGTCAATATCCAGTTAGATTTGAAGTCTTCAGTTTTTACCGTTGCATTTTTTCGTACATATTTGTGTCCGATAACGGTACAGATCATCAATCTCAAAGATCTTATTTTGCAATGTTTCAAGTAAACAAAAATTATTTTTCGATACACGAAAAAAAAACATGCGGATTTTGAGGCCTATTTTATGGGAAATTTACATTTAAAAATTATTTTTTTGACTTGAGCATTTTTTTTCGAAATTTTTATGAAAAATAGGAAAATACGTGTATTTTTTGATTTTTTAATTAAATAAAAATTATGGAAATTATGATTTATTTAAATTTATATTATAAAATTTCCAATCCACCAAAACTTAATTTGTCCGAATTCTTGATAGAATTTTTAAAATGTTCAATTTTCATTTATCCAAAATTACAAATGGCCAAACAAATAATAATTGACAAAAATATTTCGGCGCTGTTTTTAAAACTTTACGATTTTCTATTAATAATTTCTATAATTGGTCAATTTTAAAAAATCGCGCCGAAATCTTTCTGCGTTGACTGTATACATTCGGACTTTTTGCAATTTCGGACAAATGAAGATTTGTCGTTTTAAGAATTATATATCAAATAAGAATTTGTGCAAATAAAAATTCGAAACAAATGGTAAATGGTAAATTAAATTTTATGGTAAATTAAAATTCGTTCCAATAATAGAATTCTTTTAAATAAAAAAATTGGGTAAAAATAAATTTTGTCAAATAATTCTTAAAAATTTTGTTAAGTAAAAATTCGATTAAAATAAAATTCTTCCTGTTAAAGTCTAATTCGAGAAATGAAAAATCGTCTAAAAAATAATTTATATATCTAAAAAAAATTGTTTTAAATCAAAAATTCTAATTATTTTTATGGAATAATCATGTGCCACTTACAATTTTACAGTTGAATTAAAAGGGTAAATTTTTTCAAATATTGTAAAACTGAAAATTAAAATGTAAAAATAAAAAAAAAAATTCAACTTAAGGCCAGGTCCAAGTGAGGCAGCGCCATCTACATTGAAACTAAAATTTTGTAAAATTTTCAACAGCCTTTTCTTGAAAACAAGATGGTAAAATGCTTTTTCCTTTATGGATAATTGATTATTGGCAAGATATACACCAGCTAAAACTTTTTTTGAGTTAAAATAATAAAAAAAATTTCATGTCAATAAATTAAATATGAGCACTTTTTTCACAAAAACTGTAGCAGTACTTTCTCAGAAATTACAATCAAAAATGCAATTTCCATTTGGAAAATTAATAAACGCTAAAAAATACACGACCTAAGATTTACCAATCACGAAAATAACAAAAAAAAAAGTATTTTAACATAACATATTTTACTCATTATGTCAGCCGTTTGGCAGGTTATATATGTCACCAGACGTTTCACAGTTTTGCCGAAAGGAGGAGATTGGCGCTGTTGCTAACCACCTGAAGTACATAATCTACCAAAGGGCTGTCACAATCAGTAAAGCAGTATCAATATGTTAAATATTTAATAAAATTTTTTTTTTGTTATTTTCGTAATTGGTAAATCTTAGGTCGTGTATTTTTTAGCGTTTATTAATTTTCCAAATGGAAATTGCATTTTTGATTGTAATTTCTGAGAAAGTACTGCTACAGTTTTTGTGAAAAAAGTGCTCATATTTAATTTATTGACATGAAATTTTTTTTATTATTTT